CATAGTTTGCCTGTAAAAGAAAAAAATATACGCAAGGCATTATAATATTGGAAGGCACATAAAGTAGATAACGCAGCCACTTCAATCACGTCCATCTTGCACTAGACGTAGCGAGCAAGTAAATAAAATGGAGAGTGTGGATGACTAGCACTCGTGCAGTCTCCGCTCGCCAAGACTCGTGGCGAGAGCCTCTAGGAGGCGCCTCGCGAGAGTCTGGAGCCGGCATTAAATAAATATGCTTTCCATCAATCAGTTATTTATATGCTATATAAAAAAAAAGAAATTGACGGAAATAGTTTCTATGTGGTATATCGATCATTGTTATAATATTATTTTGTTTTGTTTTTTAACTAACGCAATTAACGGCTATTGTAGCTTTGGAGGTAAAAAACAGATAATTATTTAATACTCCTTAGAAAAATATACGCCCCTCGCAATAGTTTGTGACAATATTGCATGTTTTCAAAATAACGCTTAAACTTTGATCTCATCGATATCACCCAAATTTAAATCTTATAAATCTAAGAATAGTTAACAATAACGAGGATTGGAGGATTCAAAAGCAAGTATCTGTAACAGCGTTTAATTCTGTTTCTCACGACTACATTCGTCCACGAATCCAAGAGTTGAAGGAGCTGACTCTGGCAAAACCTGAGGGCATTCCTCTTTCACAACCGGCGCGAGCACCGAAAGACGTTACACCAATCTGGAAATGAAACATTATGAAGTTTTAAAATAACTCTTTTAAAGTTAAGGCAAAATATGAAATCATAAATGCTATCGAGAGAATGTCACGGAAATACGAACCAATAGATTGTTGTTGACGACAAGAGGGCCGCCAGAGTCGCCATTGCAGATATTAGCCCTGGTAGCGCCGCGGACGCAGATAGTCGAGGCGATGACTGGGCCACTGCCGTAAACTGACGCGCATTCGTTGTTGCTGATGACTTGCAGATTGACGTGTTTCAATGGTTGGTTAGGGTTGTTGACATCACCCGATGGACCTTTATTGAAAACATACATTTCAATATTAAGAGTATTGTCCCCGTGACATTGAGACGAAAAAATGTTATGTACTAATAATAAATGTAATATTATTTAATGTAATATATATAATACATGTTTTACGTTTGTTTAATAATTTTAGATGTATTAATTTAAAATGATATAATTAATTATTAATGTTATAGGAGAACTCACCGTCACCAGTTCTTCCGAATCCGATGGCAACGGCCGTTGCTCCATCAAACAAATTGTTGCCAGCAGCTAAGTTGATTGATCGGATGTTGTCTGGCAAAAAAAGTAGGAGTTCTCTTTATTTGCCCCATCGAAATTATTCTGTTTCCTCGATATTTAAACAGATATCCTCTCTTGGAAGCAACCGAGGTCGCAAGTAATGAAGTAAAAAATGCGTAATTATTAAGAACGTAATCATTTCTTTCTTGAAACTCGAGACTATTTAGTCTCACGTCTCAAGATACCAAGCCTTCACACTTATTGCTAATGAACGACTTTACTTACTGTTAAATCCAACGTTGTTGATTCTGACGATGGCGATATCGTTCCTCAGGTTGTCCATGTTGTAGCTTGCGTGCATTTCGACGTTATTGGTGTTGATACGAACACCACCGCTGAAGAGGCGAGTAGAGCCTAGAACGACAATCATCGAGATACCCTGGGATTGCCTGGTGCGCCAGCAGTGAGCGGCGGTTAAGACTCGGTTAGCGCTGATAAGTGAAGATCCGCACATCGATTGTCCGTCTATTAGGTTGACGAGTAAACCACCCTGTTAAATATAAAGACCATGATGAAAACCTACCCTCACTAAGAGCTACGTTTATCAACGTTTGCGTGCAAGCTTTAGAACATTTCTGATTGAAGAAAATTTTAAAATATAATCTTACCATCCAAGGGAATTGACCGAGGTTGGAAATCGAACCCCCAACGATTCTGGAGCCGTCGAAGTCCATAGCCTCTTCTGCGGCCTTGATCCGCGCAGCCTCGGGAATACCGATCTCAACATGGTAGTCGGTGATGATAGGCTCGTACTGGACTCGAGGAGCCGCGACGGCCGCCGTTACTCCTAGAAGCACCAGGAACAGTTTCATTGTGGTTAGACTTCTGAATGTCCATTCCACCACTGCAAGCCCTTATATACTGGGTAAAATTGTCGCCGGATTTTTTGATTGTGATTATAAATAGCTATTGCATCATAGATAAACCTTATTAATAAATTACTCTATCTTTTTATTTGATAATATAATTACTCCATGGGTTTTCCACGACACTAATTGAATTTATAGAATTGTGAATTATGAAATTATCGTGTTCGCATATGTAAGATGCTACTTACTTTATTATATTTTATACGCTAACCAATTTTCGAAAAAACATCTTATTATATTATTGAAACAATTTAAATTATTTGTTCGTATGCCGCTTTCAAGTTTAAGCGGCGACGTTTATCCATTTTATAATTGATTAAACTACGATACTGCGTTAATATCTGGTCAAACTAAATACTGTCTATAGTTTACGCGAGTAGTACACATTTAAATAAAACACTTTAACGGTTTAAAACGCGAGAATGCTTTCTGCAGTCTCCCCGTGACCACGGGTGCTGCAAAGCATCCGAAACGTCGGGCCGAAGTTAAAAATAATTTTCAAACAAGTTTAACTAATATATCGCGTTTTAAACCGTTAAAGTGTTTTATTTAAATCTGGTCAAACTGTGTGCATAATGAAAATTCCAGCTTTACGTACATCACCATTAAAATAATTTAACCATATTCATGTATAAGTGAAAATATTTGAAAATTTTAATATTTTACATGATGGCTCTATATAGTTTAAAAATCGAAAGACAATTGAAAGAAAATCGATTCTGGCTGAACTTGAAGCGGCATCGTCATCGTTTCGAGCTGTTGCTCTGACCTTGAATTGAGCTACCGAGTTGATTCACTCATCTTCATCGTGGAATTTTCAACTTTAGCACTTGCGTTTTAAGGAAAGTGAAAATATCTTTTAGCACTGCACTATTACTCAACAGGAAAAATCCGTTAAACAATAGTAATATTTTAATTAATAATACTCTCCTCGGACAAATATAGTTCTATCACAATTTTTGACACCCAAAATAATCACCATTTAATCATCTAATTGCACGATTCTGTCGAGTGGATTCGATGCTAATCTCAACAAATTAAAGGATTTGATGTTATAAAAATGGGATTTTCCGTGTGATATATAAAATTGTAAGGTAAGAGTATCTTTACGAGAAGAATACAAAAGTTATGCAGTTTTATTTGGACTTTTATATTTCCCTACACCATCATCCTAGAGTGGTAACTGTCATTGAAGTATGTAATAACTGACAATAAAAAGATTCGTTACGCAACGCGCTCCGACACCCGCGCCTGCGCCGATCCGTCTAGCTTCTTTCTCTGACTCATAGTGGGCTAATGGCATAATCGAGCGTCCTGGGATGCACACGTATTTTTTAACTTTCAAGAACAGAATGCTATAATCACACACTTTTAACGGTTTAAAGTCGAAATTATTTTGGTAGTAGTGGTAAATAAAAAAATTGTTATATTCGATGCGAAAATCAGCATGAAAGTGAATGCCTAAGTCTTCTATTTTCTTCTTTCTTTGTGAACATTTAAATGTACCCTTCCCTTTTATATCGCACATAGTATTTGTATTTTTTATGTATGGTTACTATCAATATAACGATTTCATTGGTATCTAATGATTTCTTTCAAATGTAGCCAATGTTACTCAGGATTAATGTAGCTTAGAAAGAGACAACAATTTTTTAAATCGCCCCTACAATCGGACACAAAAGAATACAAATGTACCTCTTCACAATAATAATAATTTATTTTTCAGACCATAAATCTATTTCTTAAAATTAATTAATTCTAATGTGCGTTAGTTGGGTTAGTAACAATTTTTAACTTAAAATGTATATTAGAATGTGTTAGTCACTAAAATTAAGTAGACCGAATGAAATATACAGAGTAGGTGCTAGGCGCTAAGGCCGTATACTTTTTACACAATGCATCCGCAAACATGCCCGACACACTACAGTATCTTAGCAAGCCCAATAACAACCTGAAAACATTGTTGTCTTGCACACGAATAGCATTCAATGCTCTCTGAGTAAAGGAGGCCCATAAGCCACACGCGTGGAATGATTGGCAGTAAGCCTTAAATAAGACGATTTTGACATCGTTTGAGCTTCGTGTAAACCTCCGGGCCACCAAGTTACCCCTCACCGCTATAGGCCTCCTTTTTCTCTCCAGGTCAGCTCTATCTGACAGGTCCTCCGTGACACAATGACCTAAGTACTTATATTCAGTTACTTGTTGTAGAGGTACACCGTTGTGCATTATTGCAGGAACCACGCCTATCTTATCACCGCGCTATTGAAAAACGAGTAACTTACTTTTGGCTGTATTGTAGCTCAGGTAATGAGCATCAGCAAAGTCTTCACAGATTTATAAGAGCTTTCGGATGGCGCTCAGCGAGGGAGCTAGTAACACCATAACATCAGCATAATTATTAATCTTGTTCACAATTATTTCATCTTTTGAGCAGCCTACCCCACTGCTCCTAAGATGTTTTATGAGATCATTGACGTATAGGTTAAAAAGACAGGTAGATGTAACCCCCCCTGCCTTACCCCACACTTTAATACATCTCAGACTCCACATCACTCCATCCTACACAATTCTCCTGATTGGTGTACCAATAATCAAAAACTTCAATAACATCCTCTGAAAGCCCTGTCTTCTTAATTTGGGCATAAGAAGGTCATAAGAAATTGTATCAAACGCCCTGGACATATCTAGAAGCGAAGACCGAGGTGCTTTTAGCGGAGTAATACTGGACCGTCTGCTTAAGACAGGGTATTGCACTTTCCGTGGACAAGCCCGGCCTGAGACCGAACTGTGCGTCATCAAGATCTACGCACCTGCAAAGGTGGTCATTAAGCAGACTGTCCAGCACCTTCGCGACTATTGTAGCTAATGAGATAGGCCTGTAATTGTCTATTTGCGAAAGATCTCCCATTTTATTTTTCATTACTGGTACAACAATGGTCTTTATTCATTCCGCTGGAAGATATGAATGCCTTAACAACATTAGTGTGTATTACTTTAAAGGTTTAAAATTAAAACCAAGAGTAGGTACTGTATGTCTCCCTATGACCACGGCTGCTGCAAAGCATCCGAAACGTCGGGCCGAAGTTAAAAATCATTTTCAAATAAGTTTAACTAATATATCGCGTTTTAAACCGTTAAAATGTTTTATTTAAAAGGTACTGTATGATTTAATGTGGGTATTTATTGTAATTTATACTAATTAAGTATAGATTATTCGACAAAGCTTTATTGAAATTGAATCGAATTACTTTTTTCGTCTGCAAATTACATGCGCGCGCGAATCCAGGAGTTGAAGTAGGTAACTCTAGCGAAACCGCCCGGTCTGCCCCATTCACAGCCGACGGCCGCGCGGAATGACGTGACACTGATCTGTAATTTTATTTATTAATTGTTTCTAAGTATTGAGCCAACGAATTTTTTCAATTTATAATAAATGTTCAATTTTGTTTGTCCGAAACCCTTTTGTAAAAACATAGAATAAGAAGCAAAAGTCGAATGGCACAGTACAAGTACACAGGAGGAACCGTTTGTCTATCGTAGCGCCTACAGAATAAAATGACCTATTCTTGATTCATTATGAATCTGTTTTAAATGTAAAGGCGCATAAAAATATAAAATAGTATAATAACATAAAAGCAGTTTTTGAATCCGCAACAAATAAAGAATTTTCTTTTATCGTTTCGTCCTATTTAACTTTTGTTGATTAACTGAATAAACCGCCGAAAAGATTTATGTTATTAAAACTTTCCATACGTTTTCTGAATAAGGCCATTATTCACTGAAATTTTAATTTGATACTCGCATTAAAAACCAGATGGCTAAGCTAGCGCACCGACTAGCTCGAGCTTTATGCTTATTTGCAGCATAATCAATACAAATTCTAAATTAAAATCCTAATCACAGTATGTTGTGAATAACATAAGGGAGCTATGCTTATTGTGTTCATTTTAAAAGAGTAAAGCGAAATCTTGTAGTGAAAAACAATTATAAAAAAGACAGAATACAATTATTTCAAATGAGAGAGGTAAAGAACGCGTTATAAACGGGTAAACTCGTTCTAGACTTTACCAATATATGACGAAGATATGACACCGAGTCTAGGTAGGAGAGACTGATAAACAGTCCCATTATATATCTTTTGTCTTCTTACCAATGCACTGCTGACCACGAGGGGGCCGGAGTTACCGCTGCAGATATGCAGCGCTTGTTCGCCCCACTGGTGCAAAGTGTGGAGGAGAAGATCCTGTGGCTGCCGTACACACCGCCACATTCGTCGTTGCTAATTACCTGAATGGTTACGTGTCTCAGTACTTGGGCGCGGGTTGATATATGATAGTTCAATATCTTCAGTTCATTTGTGAAAGACCAAGTTTTCGAAGACTATCATTATAAAATTGAGAGTTTGTGCTCATATAAAGGTGGGTCACATCGGCTCCAAATTATCAACCTTGAGATTCGCGTCGCCCAGCATCCCTCCAGACGAGGACCCCATCGCTTTCTCGCCGGGTCAGGTGAGAAGAGCTCTCCTCCGCGTCAAACTCAAGAAGGCCCCAGGACCCGATAACATCCCGAACATCGCGCTGCGCCACCTTCCACCGAACTTCGTCGTTGCCGTCGCACGGCTGTTTACGGCGATCGCGCGGCACACACATTTTCCGGCGTGTTGGAAGGAAGGACGAGTCCGGATGTTATTGAAGCCAGGAAAGAGCGTACTGCAGGCGGCCAGCTATCGACCTATCACACTGTTGCCGTCCTTGTCGAAGGTGTTCGAAACGCTATTGCTGTACCGCTTTCACACCTTCTACACCCCGCGCCCCGAGCAATTCGGCTTCCGTGCGCAGCATTCCACAACGCTACAACTAGCCCGAGTGGGGGTGCTGCTGCTGCGGCCGATGGAGAAGGCGTTCGATCGTGTCTGGCACGCCGGCCTGTCGCGAGCTCGACGCCTCCCGTCCCCGCCCTCCCTCTTTTTCCTTCCTCCAGGTCGCTTGCGTAGAGTCGACGTCGACAGTTCGAGTCCCCGCCGAGTCAAGCGGGCGTTCCGCAAGGCCAGCGCTCTCGCCAACGCTGTACTCGGTCTTCACAGACGACGTCCCCGCCCCGCGAGACATAGGTGGCCCTCTAGTGGACGACACAGCATACATCGCAACCTCACTGTCGTCCCGGCACGCGGCCATCAAACTCCAGCGCGCCTTAGACCTCCTTCCCGATTGGCTTCAGAAATGGCGCTTAACTGCCAATCCCGCCAAAACCCAAGCCATTTGTTTGGTCGCGGCAACTTAGCCGCCGTCCCTCTGCCTTTAATGACACCGAAGTCCCTTGAAGCCGCGGTCCGTACCCCGGCCTTACGATCGACCGGAGCCTTACAATGAGACACCATATCACAAGAGTGGTCGGTCGAGCCAAAGCGGTCTTAGCCAACTCGGCCCCATCCTATCCTCCAACATTCCCGTACATACAAAGAAGTCCCTGTACAATGTTTATGTCCGTCCCCACCTCACGTACGCCTCACCAGCCTGGTATGCGCTGGCGTCGAAAACACACAAGAAACGCCTCGACGCAGTCCAGAATAAGGCACTCCGGCGTATTATCAAGGCACCGCGCTACGTGAGCAACTCCACTATCCACCGAGATCTCCGGCAAGCCACACTAGAAGAGTCCATCGTCCGGATGGCCGAGAAGATGTTCGCGAGGGCCGACACATCACGCGCGCAGCATCTCCGGCGCCTCGCCCCTTGGCACACCAGGCCACCGGACTGAAGATTCCCGCTACCGCGAGACCTCCTCTCCCCTCCCAACTTCCCGCCTCTCCCTGCAGCAGCAGCAAACGGCAAGTTAGTGAAGACACCACATCACCGGATTTGACCTCGAACGCCGATCCCGCGTCTTCGTCCGCTGGTCGCCTCGCTGGGCCTCCCCCGGGGTTACCGGGGGTCTCACCCGGCGGTGCTTGACCGCGAGACGCGGGGGCGTTCACCACCGCCTACAAGGACCAAACGACGGCCTTGTTGCTACAAGGCGCGATAGATCACCCCTTGCGGAGCCCGACAGGGCTGATCAAGGAACCCCCCCCCCCCCGGGCCCAACGCACGTTCAAATTATCATTCGTAATTTTACTAACAACGTCTGTCTCTTTAGCTTTTCTTAATAATTGTATACACCGCGTTTACGTCATAGAGGCGTAAGGGAAAAATGTAGACGTCCAAGTTTTCATAGTCTATTTAAATGTGTAGACTACTTTAGCTTGCAAAGATATAAGGACGTATCTTTTATAATTTAAAACCAAATAACGAACAACATGAAGATAATAAATTTAAATAATTAACTGAACAATATACATAAAAATATTAATGTAACTTTAATTTTCGTGTCTTAATTATTATTTTTTATTTTATATTTGCAACATTAAATGCTTTGCGACAATATATCCTAGCCTTAACAAATCAACAATCATAATAAAAGATGGATGATTGTTTTATTGAGGGAAAAACCCAAAATGTTTCAAATATGTGTGCGAGGTTTCAAATAACAGATAATATTTATTCTCAATTGACGTAACTGACCCGTTTCGTCATTAGGGTTGAACAATTCAAATTGATACACTTTGATTTGTACATATACAAGCGTTGTCATAATAAACTATCAAACTCAAACTCAACTCATTTTTATCATTTAAATAAAACGCTTTTAACGGTTTAAAATATAGTAGTTAACTATTTACATACTTTTAAAGCAACTCCGCTTTCGTCGCACGGCATAGTTATTTTACGCTCTATTTTTTTTTACAAAATCTTTATAAATAATTATAGTTTTTACCCGCGTATCATCCTCGTCCCGTCGTTCTTACAACTTCATTTTAAAAAGTAGACATATTGCCGCGGATTTTGTTTAGATAGCTTAAAAAGTAATAATTCTTTCATACATGTTATTTTTGATATTTTGAACAGTTTTTGCAAGGCACTCAAAGGAAAGCAAAAAAAATAAAATTTTCCACATTTCCCATTTTTTCTTTGAATTAACAGGTCGCAGCGTGATGTTTTAGCGTGAAGCTTTTCTCAATAAATGCTGCAACTAACAGATTTTTTTTAAATTCGAACCAGTAGTTTCTGAGATTAGCGCGATAAAATCTTACTCTTAAGCTTTATAATATTAGTATAGATACAGTTTCACCGTGACCACGGCTGCTTTTAGATTTTCGGAAACTGAGTAGTGATATTTTTTTATTTAGTTGTAGTGGTTTATTTTTTGATTTGGTACTCCTAAACACTTCAAGCGGTAATTACTTATTTAAATTTAAAAAAAATCCGATTGCATTCGTCTCTACATAATTACTTTGTAGGTACAGTAGGAAAATAAGGGTTACGTGGAAAGATGTTTGGACGAAAGGTTCATCCTAAGCTGAAACTTATACTAAGTAGAATATCGATATAAATATATTGATTTCTTTATTTCTCGTCTCACAAAAAGGTAGATGACGGACCGAGTTTCTTCTAGGCGTGTTAACATTACCGACTCCGTAAGGACGTATGGTCTATTTAAAACATTTGTAATTAACTTTAAAAAGATAAATATAATAGTTGACTTATTTACATCTTACAGATGTATTGGTTTAACGTATTTTACCGGTGATTAAAACCGGTAAAAATAATAATAATAATTAATATGGCCATCAGTGATAGTGTTATCATAGAAATACTAACCGACGTATAATCTTTTCTATTTAAGGTCTTGGAAGTTGGAAATAAATGATTAATAAAGTTTGGTTAACTCTGATCGCCACCACTTATCTACTAAAAGGTACGAGTAGGTATTCGTAATACATTTTTTGTGTTTGTTTAAAAATAGTTATGTGTCAAAAGATTTTACCATTTATAGCCAAATAAATAGTTCTTTTTTCATATCCTGATTTCCAGTAGGTTTCGTTTTATAATATGGAAAATATTATAGCATTTTTTTGCGATTCGTAGAAAGCGTTCAATTGTGTTGTGGGTTGCAAGTTAACAAGTTGCATTTCAACTACAATGAATGAAATATTAAACAAAATTGTGCGGTAGTTGCGGTGTATTGGTGAATAGTAAACATTTTTTTTGGGTTTGAATTGTCGATTTCTTTGCATTAAAAGAATAAACATCAATATTTCGTCAAAAAATAAGAAATGTGTGAAATCTCGTGTAGGCACAGTGTTGGTTTAGCTCGATTATTATTCTGCTGAGGTAATCAGTTTTTTAATAATTAGAGGACCATTTTTTCTCATGTTTGTCAACACTTCAAACAAAATGTACTATTGCATCTTTGTATCTGACGATCTCAATCATGCGATCTTCGACAGTCAACCTCGCAAGCTGTACTGTACTACTGTGAGTTGAACGCCTCGGCTGGATTCGCAAATGACTGTTTTTTTTTTTGCGAAACCAGCTGAGAAGTTGACCTCACTTTGCCACTTCAAGCCCTTCAATCAGCAGATGGACTGTAGAAGAAAATTGTAAGTAGAGCGTCTTAAAATAATAACTTTTCTTTGAACGTTTCGTACTGGAATGAAAATTTTATTCACTCAAACGGATTATTTCGTTCTAGCTCCAGAATTAGGTTATGGACTATTTTTAATCTTGAAATCTTCTCATGTTAATTGATTGACATATTGTTACTTTTTACTTACCACTTAATAATGTACTTTTTGACACTTGAAAATAAATAACTAAGAATCGAATGTTTATATAGCGTACTACGTGCAGGCGTATCTTTTTCAAGTTTAGTTTTTAATTAAATTTATTTAGTAATTTATAGAAAAAATATTAAAGCTAAATAAAGAACAAGACAAAATTATATCATCCTTTGTTTGTTTTAAATTGTACGGTGAATTTGACAGCCTCGTAGCTGTAATGGTAGTAATGTATGGCGAATAATCAAGGGTCCTGGGTCTGATCCCCACCGGGTCCGACATTTTTTTATGAAAAAGCCGTCAAGTTTAGTCGCGTTTCATTTTTAGTCTGTTTCAGGTCCATCGTCACACGTCTCACTACACTAGTCTGCCCTCCTCTACCATATAAACGCTCACCCGGGTGAGCTTCCGTCCAGCTCCTCAAGCTCTCACCCGCATTACGGCGGTCCAAGCCGAGGCCGGCACTCCTGGCTTGGTCTAGCCGCAAACGTTCGGTTAGTATTCGAAGCCCCGCAAGGCTCAATACGTTATATCATATTAAAAAAAATCTAGCATAAAAAAAATCCACTCTTGCGAACCCAGCAGGAAGTTCTTAAGTATTTGAAAACGACATTAAACGATCATAACGATAAGATTAGATGCCTGATGAAATTATTGCACTATTTTATAATCTATACTAATATTATAAAGAGGAAAGATTTGTATTTTTGTATGTAACGGATAAACTCAAAGAGTACTGGACCGATTTAATAATTCTTTTTTCATTAGAAAGCTACATTATCACTGAGTGACATAGGCTATATTTAGTACTTGATTACTATAGGCATCTATAGAAACTCTTACTAAAACCAACGGAAGGCATAAAAAAAATTGCCGTAAAATGTCTTTCTTCGCGTACGCTGCGAAAAGTATTAATGATTGGACAAAAAAAATGTCTAACTATTGCAGTTGCGTCGCTATAACTACTTTTTTGCATTTAACAAATTGAAAGAAATGCCGATCAAAATCAGACCGTGTTATCCACACCATTTATAATTTTTTATCCGAATATATAATCTAATATTCAAGACTGCGCCAATACCTGATGATTACTTTTTTAATTATTGAAATTGGACATTTCATTCAAAAGATATCACGAATTTAAAAAACCTATATGCCAGCGGCGGCCGCCACGCCGCGCATCGAGTAACTAATTTGACGATAGAGGGGCAGTGGGCGCGAACGACATTTAATATTTCGATTATTTTTTTAACATTTCTATGCTTCACTTAAAAAGTTCTTTTCAAAGCTACTTAGTTTTAGTATTAGGAATTACACTTTGCGTAATTTTTGTCAAAGTGCTTTTCAGAACTATCGCTATGAACTTGAATATTATCTTTTGTATTATTATTAGTTTATTCTTAATTTTTCTGACTTAAAATAAATATCCTTCATAGCAATATGCCTAGAAGAAGAAGGTCGCAGCTATCTAATAATAGTTCCCAAGCGAGATAAGCAAAAGTTCGTCGTATTGGAGAGTATTCTTCCTAAAATGATTATCTGGAAAGTATTATTATGTACGCGTCCCAATCGCGAGCCAGAGAATCTATCGTCGAACGTTCAGGTTAGTCTTGCAGAACCAAATGCAAGATCGTCGCAGCGACTTGAAGGAAATAGAGCTAGGAATTCGCGAACGCGTGCACGGGTCTCTATCACTGAACGCTCGCAGCGGCTCCTGACACAGCGAGACAGACAACGGCCGTTAACAGCTAGGACGTGTAATATTTTTTTTTCTAATTTAGTGATTCATGGTCGTTTTAATTAGCATGCTTATAATTTTAATATGTGTAATTATTTATGTCTACCCGTGCGAAGCCGGGACAGGCGGTAGTAAGTTATATGTTTGTAAATATCCTAAAATGGCAATAAAAGTTTTGAGTTTGAATCTTTTATAATTGAAGGTCTTAATGGTTTCGCGTTCGTGACATGGAATATATCTAACGATTATAGTTCTGGCAGAATTTGTGTTTATTCGTTTAAAAAATAAATTCAAATGCTACCGCTATAACAGCTCTTTTGTATGTTCTTACTTCATATTTTAAAATACTTACGATATACCATTCAAAAGAAATCGCGAGTTTTAAAATGTAAGTTTTATGAAAAATCTCGCAGCACGCCAATAAGCGATGCGTCACGGGTTTCTGGAGGGGAATCAACAACAAGAAGGCAAACATCAAATTAAAATTTTAAGAAATAAATATACTATTCTAAATTCAATGGTTAGTGAGAAATTAATTTAAGTTGCAATTGTCTATTCAAAACCCAAAGTTGAGGCGTTAAGTGAGTTTCTTGTCCGACGTCGTTGTGCACTGAAGGAGATAATATGTTGTATGTAATGTCGTACAGAAGGCTTACTATTTATATTATTTAATAGTTTGCGGCAATAACAGCCGTCAGTGTTTGATAAATTCAGGTGAATAGGCAATATAAGGGTGACCATATAGGAGACACAATATATTCTAAGAGGATGAGAACATATGCTAAGTAAATAATAATAAATTATATGTATTGTATATAAAAGTGTATTTGAGTTGATTATCGATAATTACTTTAAAATGACGTTAATTTGATAAAATAAATAATTAAAGATAATAGTGGTGGCATTTTTGTCCTCATTATTTAATGACAAATATGACGTAAGTTGTAACAATGAACTTATTTTAAAAATCCATTAATTGTAGAATCATGACGTAGTTTTTTTTATCGTACATAAAAACTAACGCTTAAACTTTGGGTTTTGAATAGACAATTGCAATTAAAATTAATTTCTCATTAAGCACTGAAATTAGAATAGTATATTTATTTCTTAAAATGTTATTTTTGATGTTTGCCTTCTTGTTGTCGATTCCCCTCCAGTAACCCGCGATGCATCGCTTAATGCGGTGCTGCGAGTTTTTCATAAAACTTACATTTTAAAACTCGCGATTTCTTTCGAATGGTATATCGTAAATATTATGTATTAAATTTTTAAAATATGAAGTAAGAACATACAAAAGAGCTGTTATAGCGGTAGCATTTGGATTTATTTTTTAAACGAATAAACACAAATTCTGCCAGATCTGTAATTGATAGACATAATATGCCATGACATGAACGCGAAAATTGGGACTTTCAATTATAAAAGATTCAAATTCAAAACTTTATTGCTATTTTAGGATATATACAAACATATAACTTAATCACCGCAATAAACATATACATCATGAAATAGTAATAATAATCAATAATTGTTGCACATCTGCTTTTCAAGGAGGTTCAGTTTAACATGCCGCTTGAAAGTCATAAACGCCATCTCCTTAGGCCTTACGCCAGTTCTAAGGGACGGACTCAGAGTCAGTAATATGCATTGAATAGATATTTTATTTTCTAAAAAGGTATTCACATGTTTGCTCGGATCCAAGAGTGGAATGAAGGGACTCTGGTGAATCCAGTGGGTCGATTCTTCTCACACCCAGTAGCAGCATTGATGGACGTCACCCCGATCTGTTGAAATTAAAACTTTAGATATATTTTATTTTGGTTTACTATTTTTGAATAAAGAAGGGTTAGGAATTTATGCGACATTTTAAATACTTTTCCATAAATAATACCGTTTTAATTTCAACGCACATGTTCTACAAATATCCTTTTTTTTAGCCCGGTAAATGACTGCAGCGTCGACTTACCACTTGATGGTTAAAGATAAGAGGTCCACCTTGGTCACCTCCGCATATGCTACGTCCTCCACTTCCAGAAACGCACAGAGTTGAGTTCGTTACATAATTCAAACCGTAAACGCGCGCACACTCATTCGTCGATATGACTTGGAGGCCCACGAATCTCAGTTGTTGTTGTCGACTGATGCCGTCCTCTTCGGCTGAAATTGTTTAATGACCGTAGACTTAGCGGTCAGTACAGATTTGTCTTTTTATATTCAGATTGTTAAAGTAACTTACAGTGCCCAGTTCTTCCGAAACCAACGGCTGTGGCCGTGTCACCTACGTACGACTGGTTTCCTTCAGCAATGTTTATTGGCCTTATGGAATCTTTAGAAGAAAAACATAGTGTGAATTGGAATTGATTTTAAATTAGTTTGGGTATTGCCCAATTATAAAAAAAAGCCAACTCACTGGTAAACAAAATAGTAGGAAGGATGATGACAGCGATATCGTTGTGTAACAGGATCTTGTCGTAATTTTCGTGTACGAGAACTTTGTTCGTTTCGACACGTCTACCCCCAGAGAAGAGGCGTAAGGATCCTAAGACGACTAGCAACCTTTTTCCTTCATGACGCCTTGATCGCCAACATTGTGCTGCTGTGAGAGCTCTGTTGTGTGAGAGAAGTGAAGATCCACAGACAGATTGTTGTCCACTTGTTAAATCGATGATCAGCCCTCCCTAAATACATTAGTAAATTATACTTGTGTACCACCAATACATATGTTTGTGTATATTGATATAGATAATTACGTGGTAAAGATATTGTTACCATGTAAGGGAATTGTCCGAAGGTCGCCAATGACCCTCCAGCAATTCTGGAACCGTCAAGGTCGGCGGCTGCTTATGCTGCCTTGATACGAGCTGCCTCTGGGATGCCGATTTCATCATGGTAGTCAGTGATTAGTTCGTACTGGTTTGGAGGAGCAGCTAGAACAAATTTCACACCTAAAAGTGTCAAAAATAGTTTTAGCATTCCTTCCCTCTGACGTAACATATTTACGTAATATACAGCGAAGGAGATAATAATAAACTGTTATCAATAAGATCGACTGTAATCACGTTTAAACTATTGTATAATAAGGGAAAAAAGCGGAGCTTATATAGGGCTGCACAAAACGGATCGCATAGCTATCGGTACAGTTATCGTACAATGACAACGATAAATATATTTACCAGGAAATAATCGATCAAAAATTCTTCGCTAAAACTTAAATAAAAGACAACCAGTTCGAAACCTGATATATATTAGTTAAACTTATTTGAAAATTATTTTAACTACGGCCCGACGTTTCGCATGCTTTGCAGCAGCTGTGGTTTCGGGGGGGTCTCCCCGTAATAAGTTTAACTCATATTACAACTTCCGTTAACACATCAACGAATCTTATACCGAGTACCAAAACAATCCAATCAACTAGGCAAAAAAGGCAGACAGCAAATAAACAGTTACATTAACGTATTCGTAACAATTATTATATTTTTATTTTTATTGTTTTATGACATATTTGTATAATGTGGGTTTGTACTTCAATAAAGAATTATTATCAGGATTATATAATTATTATATCGCGGTATTCCTTAAATTTCAGTGTTTTATTTAAATATGTACTACTCGTGTAAACTACAGACAGTATTTACTGCGTATAAAGTTATATGCAAAATTAGCATTACCCTGCCCGTGTCTTAATTCTTTTTTAATTTATATCGCCATCATGTGCAACATGTGAGAGATATTATAATTTTCAAATATTAGCAATGGAAAAGCATAAATATCATATAGCGTAATGTTTTCGCATGGTGAATTTCTGAACGTTAAAGCGAAAATAGGACGACAGCATATCTTTTAAATTTTATAATATATCGTGGCATTTAACATTGCACCGAGTGCATCGTGCAGTCCTTCCTTGTCATAGAAAAGACAGGCCCGATAGCCCATCAGCTTCTGTTGTTCTTGTAATTTATTAGTGATTTTTTAGAATTTAAATACTTATTTACTGCGTCAGTCCTTATTTTCGAAAGAAGAAACAAATAAAATATGGCTTGGCTCAACATATCCTAACAAAATACAATACAAGGTTAGGTTCAAAACTAAATTGCTAGCCAATTTTACGCAGGATTACAAAAAGCAATTGTATCAGTTCAATAACAATCTTAACAATTATTAAAACCTTTTTTTTAAGATGTAAAAAAGGATCACGATCATATGCTACAACGATATACAACATCTAGTAGGAGACTTAAAAGCAAGTTAATTTCCTTGTCAATAATAAAATCCATAAATTGAGACTACACAATATCTTACAATTAATTACCTTATACTCTTTGTAGTGTAGAATAATATTTTAATAACGATACTGTCAATTTGTACGGACGTTTGTCCGTACACTCTTCAAGGTCTTTGCTTTTAAGATAGTTTTTAATATTATTTATTTAGAAGATACTTTATCATTTCATTATTTATTATATAAGTAGTACAGTAGGACGCGTCGCGCGTTGTTTATTTTACATAGACGTTTTTTCGTGTTATTGTTCCATGATTACAAATAGCGATGTTGGCGTAGAGAGTGTACAATTGGAGTTGGAGGAGTCAGATATTTGTGGTGGCATAATTGAGAGCGAGATTATAGGTGAAGGTGTTTTTATAAATAGTGAGATGACGGAACAGGAGCAGGAGCGACCCCCAAAAAGAGGTCGAGAAAAAGATTCAGAGGAGGTGTGGAAAGTGTCGAGGAAGTCTAAGAGATTTGGACGAATGAGTCAGGAGGGAGATTTAGTAAGAATTGCAGAGGATTTAATTGAAGTTAGCTTAACGTGTACAGAAAAATTACCAAAGCAATTTGGTTTGGCGAAGTTGTTGAAAAGTGAAAATATTAAAAATATTATAAAAGTGAAATACGTCAATAGTTACAAAGTAATTATTCAATTTAGTTGTGAGGTTAGAGCAGAAACGATGGTTTAATCAAAAAAATTAAATGAGGGTTGTTATAAGGTTCAGAAAACTTTCGATATAAATCAATCTTATGGTGTTATTCATAACATTGATATGGAATTAAACGACGAGGAGGTAATGGAGGGCTTAAGTGAAAATGTGAAAATTTTGGGGGTGAAACGATTAAAACGAAGGAACAGTTAAGATGGGCATTGGGAACTTGGGGAATCTATAAGACTAACATTTAAAGGAAGGTCGTTACCCTCATATGTTTATATTTATGATACGAGAACGCAGGTACATTCATATACCTTTCAAGTGACTCAATGTTCTCGTTGTTGGCGTTTTGGTCGTACACTAAACATGTGTCCATCTTTAAAAACAATTTGTCCTAAGTGTGCTAAACACCATTCTAATTGTGATACTACTTAATTTAAATGTAACAACTGCTCCGGGAAACATATGGCGATGGCCAAAATTTGTCCTGTATTTAGAAAAGAAAAAACTATACGAGATCTGATGTCCGAGTTTAATTGTTCATATAAAAAGGCGCTTATGTTATATACCCCTCCTCCTAATGTTTTTCTAAGTCGGGAGGAAGAATTTCCAAATCTTGTTAATAAAGAGAGTACTCGATCTGTTGAACCAAGTACAAGTATAGATTATCGAGCGGCGATTGTAAAAGATTAAGGGAATGAGAATAGAAATAAGAAAGGGAAGAGGAAACATAATTGGTCAATGGAATACATTTCAGAAGAAGGTTCTGATAAGTACGTACAGGAAACAATTAGTGAAGGGAGAGATAAATGTAAATCGCAAAGTACTGAACCGTTGCATGATCAAATTTCTTGGCAAATATTACTTAAAAGGCTGAAGGAAGCATTTTTTGATAAAGAGAATAAAACGTTAACGGATCAGCTTAAAGGTTGTTGGAGTATTATCATAGAAGGAGTTATATCGTTTTTAAAGCAATACATTGGAGATTGGCCGATTTGCAATTTTTTTAAACAATTATGGACATCAGGGTCTCAAATGTCTCAATAAACGTGATACAATGGAATGCTCAGAGCATTCGCCCGAAGAAAAGGGAATTTGAAGCCTTTTTATTTAAAGAAAAAATTCATATTGCATTAATTAGTAAAACTTGGTTGGTTTTTCGGGCAGTCAATAACAATAAAAAATAATATCAGTCAGTTTAATGTTTTTAGAAGAGATCGTGATGATGGTTATGGAGGTGTAGCTGTTATTACGCACCGTTCTATTAAAATTCAAGTACGTCATGTGCATTTAACAAATCGATAGATTGAAATTATTCACTTAAAAATATTGAACTGTGGTCATATAGAAAATGTTATTTCTGTTTATTGTGCCCCGAACGTTAGAACTGTTTCTAGTGATTGGGATGAGTTGTTTTCATTGGTAGATCAGAAAACTATTATTGCGGGCGATTTAAACAGTCACCACACTAACTGGTCAACTAAGGTTGATGTAAGGGGAGGATATATATTTGATTCCATGATTGATAAAAAATTTATATCTTTAAATGACTTGGATCTTGCACTAGGATAAAGCTAGTCAATGGTTTAGTACAAAAATCATTTCCTGATGTTACTTTAATTTCTGCGGATATAGCTTTAAAGTTAAATTGGTCTGTATTAAATGAATCTTTGGGTAGTGATCTTAATGATAAATCTAATGATAAAAATAAATACGGAGATGTCGAGATCTGTAAGTTTTAGAGCAAAACGTAATTTTCGGCAAAGTGATTGGCTTCGTTATAAAGAAAATGCTGCAAAGGAATTTGAAGAATACATTTTAGATGTAAACAATCTTCAGTTATCGTATAATAATTTTATTGATATAATGGATAATGCAGCAAAGACTGCTATTCCTGTTACCAAAATATGTGAGGACCCTGTCCGAAAGCACAATTTTTCGCCTAAATCGTATTGGAATCAAGATATGTCTAAAGCTGTAGCTGAAAGACGGAGAGCTTTAGCTGAGTTTAGGCGAAATCCGACGCCAGATAATTTAACATCACTTAATTGCAAAATAAAGCGTGCCCGTTCAATTGTTCGTAAGGGTTATCTTAAATCATTTCGGGAATTCTGTACCAATATTGACAGTGTAACATCCACTAATGACATGTGGGCTAAAATAAAGTGGTTTAAAGATAATGTGGCAACTAAAGATGTTATCTCTCGTGAAAAGGCATATGAGTTGTTGTGTAAGTTGACACCTGCTCAAGTTACACCTCAGTCTCCAGAATTTGGGTTAAATAACAATGTTCTATCTATTCCTACATCACTGCAAGAATTAAACAATGCTGTCAAACGATCGGACTCTGCACCTGGTTTCGATGATGTATCCTATTCTTAGGTTAATAACCTTCCTGAAACAGGAAATAATTTTTTAATTTTATTGTATAATTATTTTTTAGATCTAAAGTTTGTACAAAATCAGTGGCGAGATATCAGAGTTATTCCAATTCCTAAATCATCGAGTGTCAACAATGCGGATAAGAGACCTATAGCTTTGATATCATGATATTTAGAAAAAAACTTAAATTTACTCCCAGAAAAGGAAGGGTTTTCGTAAGGCTAGATCATGCGCTGATAATCTAACAAGATTAGTTTCTCGAATACAGTGTAATTTTACAAAAGGTTGCCCTACATTAGCTTGTTTTTTGGACGTAAATAATGCATATAATAATGTAAGTTTAGTTAGTTTGCTTAATAAATTGATAGGTCTGGGAATAGGGAATTGGTGACGTAGGTCAAGAATCTATAACACGAGTCGCTAGAATGGGATTGCCTCAAGGTGACCCTTTATCTCCATTATTGTTTAACGTGGCATCCATAGATATATGTTCTAAGTTTAATAATGTTTTTATATCACAGTATGACGATGACATTGCAGTTTATTTTGGTCATAAAAATGTATCTCAAATGACAAACACAATTCAAGAGGCTTTGGATGTGCTTGACTGTATTCTGGGTGATATTGGATTGGATATTTCACAGAGGAAAACTAAATTTTGTGTATTTCCTAGAGGTCGTAGAAATAGTAAGTATGATAATATAACTTTTAAAAATTAATAATCTCAATATTGAACGAGTTGATTCGGTTAAATATTTAGGGATGGTTTTAGATAGACGCTTGGGCTGGGGTCAACATTTTGAATTATTACAGCAGAAAACATTAAGTTTTTTAAATTTTTTTAAAATGTAGCGAGTTTGAATTGGCGTATACATACAAAACATTTGAGGAATCTTTATATTTCTACTATCCGTAGTAGATTGGATTATTGTTATTTTTTGTATGATAATAGCATCTAAAGTCATTTATATAAGTTAATGAAAATTCAAAATCAGTCTATGAGTGTAATTAGAGGTTTTATCAGAAGTACTCCAATCCATGTTATGGAATCTGAGTTATCGGTATGTCTTCAACCCTTAGAAATTCGCCGCAAATATTTGGCAGCAAAATTTTACTTAAAATCTAGAGCTATTACCAATAATGTTACAATTTGTGTTTTAGATGAATGAAATGATTTGTGTCATAATCATTTTTGGGTTCGTAAGAAAAAACCTTTGTTAATTGAGACTTATCAAAAATATTGTAACGTTTCAGTTTATTCACAGCCATTGGCAGAAAATTTCTCTTTAGAGGACTTAATACTTCAAAAAATATTGTGCCTAATATTGCGGCAATTTCGAGAAATAAAAAATCATTTAACACAGTTAATTTACGTCAAATATGTATAAATCTTTTTAAATAGTGAGTTTCGATCTTTTTATATGTTGTTTGTAGACGGGTCCAAGTCTGAAGATGGATGTGGAGCCGCTTTTTTTGATCCTCAATTAAACATTAAATTCCCACTTAAATTAAATTCAAATATTGCTATTATGCACTGCGATTTGATGGCAATTGCTGAAACATTATCATATGTTGAATCTGTAAATAATTCTCCGTTTTTAATTTTATCGGACTCTAAAAGCGCATTATTGCATTTGGCTCGGTTACCCTCGAGGAATCGAGGGCTCCCGATAGCCTATTCCATTTTGGACTCTATTTGCAAATTAAAAGTTAAAAATAAAACAGTACAAATTCAGTGGATACCATCACACGTTGGCATTGGAGGTAATGAAGAAGCTGATCGTTAGGCTAAATATGCTGTGTTAAATGGTGAGACTTCGGGGAGCTTAGTTTCATTATATGGGGGACCTACACATTCTGAGGTATGTTTTTTTGGTGAGACAAGATTGTCGGAGGATGTGGAATGTTTATTTCGATGAGAGGTCTCTCACAAAGGGTATCCGATACAAAACGATTGTATGTGCCCCCCCAATACACCCGTGGTACATTTTCAATAATATAAATAGAAGAGATGTTGTGTCTTTAATGCGGTTGCATTCCGGGAATATTCCGACAAACAAATTCAAACATCTTATGAGAGGAACATCAAGTCCTGATCGCACAGATTGTAACGTTGTGGAAGACGTGACTCATGTTTTGTCGGAGTGTGTACGGAATGCGGCATATAGACAATTAGTTAAAATCTATATGTTTTAAAAATGTTGGGTGGTATAGTAGTGTCTTAGCCTTTCCATTTTCGCGGGAGGCTAGGATGCTACTAAACTTATATTATAAGGCTATGTAGATATTTAGATTAAATATTTTATTAATTCGGTATTGTAATTGTAAAGAGATTAAAAGGTAAAGCTTAAAACATAAATTCACAGTTATTGCACATGAAGGCACTATATAATTTAAAAATCGAAAATAAATTGAAAAAATTTTCGACTCGAATTCGACGATGAGGTGTAGGACTCGGTAGCTCAATTGGTAGAGCACGGAAAGCTGACGATGCCGGTTCAAGTCCTGCCCGAGTCGAAAAAATTTTTTAAATTTATTTTCGATTTTTAAGTTATAAGGTTAAAGCCTACTAAATAAAGATTTAAAAAAAAGGCAAAATATTTTTTTTCCCAGCAAACTGAGAACGAAATTATATTATTAAATATATATTACATCAGTAGTTAGTGTTGTAGAAGTGGGAAACGATCCAATCCCGAAGCCTAGTGGTTCTATTTAAAAGTCAACAACTTCCATTAGTATCTCGATTTTATTTGACATTAATGACAAGTAACAGTACTGTAACTTAGATCACAAGCGTGCACGAATCCAGGAGTAGAAAGCTGTAACTCTTGCGAAACCAGCCGGGAAGCCCCTCTCGCAGCCAGCGGCGGCTCCGAAGGAGGTGACGCCGATCTGTTGGGCACGAAATGTTCAGTTACACGATATCCAACACGACGCCCTAAACAAATTTACAAATCTATCAAGACAAAATTTACCAATTGATTGTTCAGGACCAGGGGACCGCCAGAGTCACCGCCGCAGGTGCTGCGTCTGTCAGCGCCCGAGACACAGATAGTAGAATCGATAACTGGGCCAGTTCCATAAACGGAGGAACATTCCTGGTTGGTGATAACGCGGAGGTTCACGTGTCTCAGTTGCTGACCTGTGGTGATTCCTCCATTCCATGCTGTAATAGGGAATTAAATGTAAGAACTGTCTAAAAGCATTGTTTAAATATCTCCTGAATACTAATTTGTTTGCTATAATAATAATATACAAAAGTGCAAAAAAGGTATCTTTGTACAATTTTTTCAAGAAATTTTCACTTACAGTCTCCGGTTCTGCCAAAACCAATAGCGGTAGCGACGCCGTTGACAAATTGGTTGTTGCCTGAGGCAAGGTTGACAGTGCCGATTTGGTCTGAGGAGAGAGTATTAATTTTTTAATGTTAATAACATGTTAGAAAGAAAGCCATATCAAGAAAGACTGTAGTTTAATTGGACATACTGTTAAGTCCGATGACTGGGAGGTTGATGATGGCGATGTCGTTTCTAAGAAGGTCCATGTCGTAGCCCTCGTGCATGACAATGTTGTTGGAGTTAATTCTGACTCCACCGGAGAAGAGACGGAGTGAGCCGAGGACGATCGTGAGCAGAAGTCCCTGGAACCGCCTGGTGCGCCAGCAGTGAGCGGCGGTCAAGGCTCTCGTGGGACTGATGAGGGATGATCCACAGACGGATTGCCCTCCGGTGTTCAGAGTGACCAGTAATCCTCCCTAAAACATCATAATTTGTTTAACGAAGCGATTATAAGTAAAAAAATGTATGTCCATTAGGGCATGCCCATTTCATGCTGAGTTTGTGTCTTCAAAGGATTTTGAAAAATAAAAAACGCCATTAATAATTAAATGTCGGTAGAAAGTGTATTTTTGTAATTAGTAATTTTTGTAATTAGTAAACTTTCCGCATATATGTCCCTTTTTGTGTAAAATTTGTTTTAGCATGTTAAAAAACTTATTTATTTCAAATAGGCTTACCGACTAAATACATACCAAAAGCCTTATCTAAACAACAACAAGGCAATCACGACGGTGCTATGTAATTAGATATAGAATATATAAAACAAAACTATGATATTCAACAATAAATTGTATATGTGAATGAAATAAGTGAATAAATAATAAGAAAACCAAACAAAAAAACTCACCATGTAAGGGAATTGGCCGGTGTTGGCCAAAGAACCACCAACTATTCTGGAGCCATCGAAGTCCGAAGCCGCTTCGGCAGCCTTGATACGGACCGCTTCCGGGATACCGATCTCACCGTGATAGTCGGTAACGATGGGCTCGTACTGGGCCGGGGGGGCGGCGAGCGCCGCCGTTACTCCGAGGACTACCAGAAACAGTTTCATGGTTGCAATATGCCGTCTGTACTCGTCGAGTCCATTTTATACGAAAACGCTGATTATTGTTATTAGATAGTAAATTGATCATCAAATTTAATTTTAATCATCATTAAAATAATTGATATTCAGCTTGTGTCGCCTTCGATCGCTAAATCAAGCATTCACACATCGAGGTTTAGAGACATCTATTGAAAAAAGGTTTAACTAGAACAATTACGAGTTGAGGCGTACTATTTGAAAATGGCAATGACTGAGAACGTCCTAAACCTAAATTCGACGACATAAGAACGTTGAGCGTAAGAAAGACGATAAGATTCCGCCTCAAACATCGTTAGCATCCACTGTTGATCTCCTTAGACGATATAAACTATGGCAAAGTAAACTCCGTTTGTGACATCCTCCAAATTTAATTTCGTCTCTCCAATAATTACTTTTTTAACATATTTGCTCGTAAAGTGGATAAATTACACCAATTTCAATATCGTGAGTACATTACTCATTACGTACTTGTGCGATAATGTAATGTAAAAGGCACGTGTTCTTTTTCTTAGCAAAGAGGTTTTAAGTCAAGAAAGTGGTCAATGTTTTATGAATAAAATTAACCTTGGGAAATAAAATATAACAAATAAACATTAAATTCTTTCATTTAATCAATTTTGACATTAAATTACAACCATTTATCTATAACAAAAACACAAAAATATTAATTTACTTTATTAGTAATACTGGCTGTTTTTGTATCTTTGCCTAAAAAAAGACGTTGATGCGCGCGCATCGCTTATTTGTGGACAAGTAAAAATAATTCCGCGCGCTTTCTCTTTTCGCTGTATGATTGTTTTTATTAATTTTCTCGTAAATATGTTATAAAACGTCGCATGACATACGTGCGCTTTGAAAATTACAGCCTCTGCTTTCTTATAGTAATATCGCCTCGGCTGTACTTTTCAACTTACCGCACTTATATCATAATGTACTATTACTGCGTCGGGTCAATTGATGAAAACTACTAAGAATACTAAAACGGCGATTTGTCGACTGACACATCCTCTTTGTCCGTTTCCAGCAGTCATTAAGTTACACAGTTATCATGGCACTTGTCTATTTCTGCAAATGCTACTAAAGTTACGAAAACTAATGATTTGTAATAACAGTGTAGTTTCTAACTATGGCGAACTTTAAACACGATACATAATATTTTTGTGAGAGATATACTTATGTACGGAAAAATATCCATCTGTGATAGTTTCCTAAAACGGTTCGGGATAAGGAAAATTTTATTTCTTTTTGACTGATCTAAAAAATGTCCGCGGCACTATTTGTGTAACTTTTCAGATTAACAAGAACGACGGGATGCGACCGACGTCCTGGGTAATTGCTATATTTATTATGAATATGAGGAGGAGCTCATAGCTAGATTCAAATAATGATTGAGGCATTTGTGATCGCCTACACAACTGATAGGAGAGCGAGCGTCCGTTGACATGAAGACCGTTACCCTCCTCTCTGTGCATAGTAAAATACGAACGCGTTCACAATTATCAACAAATAATACAGATCACCATTATTATTATTATTTGTTCAAATAACTTTAAGTGTCCATGTTCTTATGTTTGTGCAATAAAGAGTTGTAATATTATTATCATCATCAAAAGCAATCAATAACGAACGATAAGACAGGAATTATCGGATAAAATTATTTATTAGATTAAATCAATACGGTTTGTCTGGAGTTATGCCAGTACTACACATTTAAATAACACACGGTAGGAGCCGAAACGTCGGGCCGTAATTAAAATGATTCGTAAATACCATAATATTATGTTAACTATATTTTTAAATCTCACAAATCAATGCAATGAGCGCATTCAATGCACTATACATGAACCCAGTCCAGGATCCCGACTATTTATTACGCTGAATGGACGTAGAGAGTTTGCTATGCACTAACTTCGCCTTATCCGTTTAATATTCAAAGTTACAAGAGGCAGGCCTCGTTCAGCAGACGATTCGTCTTTTATGCCTACATAGGTATGAAACCTACGCACAAATACGGGCTACCGTTATTTTTTTAGTAATTCTTAGTTTTTGTAGCTATAACGGAGCGGACTGATCTGACGTAAATAAACGGACCTGATGCAACGGATTCGGGGAGGGTCGATTTTACGATTCATCAATTTCAATGAAACAATGAAACTATCTGTATTTTTGTGGTGATTCGAACTGTTATATGTTAGTTATATTAAAAAATACAAGCATATACCATATCAATATGTACATTACGAGTGAACGAGTAGAATGGAGTAAACACTACTGGTTAGGTGCTTGTTCTTTAAGACAGACTTCGAAGTAGGTCACGTTTTAAACATACGAACACGCTGCAGGTCCGTCGAACAACAATATGTAATATATTATTGGAGCAAGTTTGTCACAGCTAACCGACTCCGCATAAGTGTATTATGCACTGTATTCGTAAAGCGCAATTGACTTGCAAGTTACAATAAAACTTCTGCCGACATGAAAGCTAAATGGGGTGGTTTAAGTTAAAAGATCTACGGGAAATCGAGAAATTGATTTCCACTTAGCTATTAAGGAAGTATTTTATACCTACTCTATGCAGGGGTGCATAACGTTTCATTGGGTAAACTCTGTACCTTTTTTTACTAAAAGATTTAAAGCCATATGTGCCCCGTGCCTTTCTTTGAGGCTTCTCCTCTTTACTGTACAACAAGTGTTACTATTGGACCATTGAACGTGTTTTCCACGGAAATATGAACTTGAGGTACACCTAATAAGAATTTTAAATAAAATGAAACATAACATTCCTCCTTCAGCCATCCCGCTGATTCTAGTAGCTTGTACCACGCGACACTTGTACGACGTCAAAGCTTTACGTGCAGAATCAACTTGCGACAAACTTGACTTGCAACACACCTTACAAATTGTGTAAATGCACGACAAAGCAACCAGTTTATTATTATCACATATTAATGATTACACGATTGTATATTTTTAGACGTAACACCTAATCAACTAATACATCATACTTTGGAAGCATAACGCTTCAATTAATGACAATTCATTTTTTAATCTTCAAGAACATATTGATATACGACCTTTACTCGACATTACATAATTGTTCATTTTCTGAAGAAAACGAGGAACATAGTAATTAACAAGTGATTTGCATAAGGCTCGAGGTGACTAATTGAGTGAATTTAGAAATAAAGAGCTTCTGATGAGTTCCTTTAACGATCCGAGAAAAGGTTGATAGTCTTAGAGCTAAATACTTAAATTTCGCCTCTTACTTTTTTATCAATTTCTCTTTCACGCGAATAATGAATGTGCATAGATTCATTATTCGCGTGAAAGAGAAATTAAATTATCAACCGCGTCTTTCCATAACTATAAGCTCATATTTATATATGTACCATACAGAATATATATATACAAAACATTTAGTTTTGTTACAAATGTTTATAACTAATGTAAGGTCATATTTTTTATATGTTTACATCTTTGAAGTTTTTGAAGGAACGACATAACCAATGCGGGCTCTAAGCCTACTTGGAGTTAAAACATAGCACATCGTTTTCCTTACAGATAGGGCTCTAGGACAAATTCATTTTTAAGACCGCCAACGAACTTCTTCAGGCTTAGAGGTTCATTATTTGAGGAGCCTTGTAAATAAAATGTAATAAGCAATTTTATTGTGGAAATTCTTCACATTTTATAAATGGTCAGCAACAGCAATTTTCTACGTAATTTTGTTATAATTTTCCTCCCATCACAGCATGCATGTGCATATAGTCAATTTCTGAGAATGCATCAATTTGATACGTTCGACAGGCAATTACCAGGCAAGTTGGCAAGTTCATAGTTTGCACTTTGCGAGTATCGCAAGATCATGATTCAATGTAACTTTAGTACTGCATCCTGTTGTGGGACTTCTTACTTTTTTCTTCTGTTGAACCAACTTGTTGAACAACCGCGTTTCCTCATACTAAACGTTCATCATCTGTTATGCGCTAATGTAAAACCCCGAATTTTTATCTCATTATAGTTATCGAAGGTAGTTAATCCTTATTAATAATCGATATCAATTCAGTGGTAGAGTAGATAAACTATCGCTAATCACATTAAGTTAATTACTTTTAATACTATACCAATGTATAAGGTCTTTGAGTTATTATAAACTATCTTTACGCGAAGCTAAACAACCCTTTGGCGGAACAAAAAAAGAAAGGCGACGTCACGAAACGAGGCCCGACGGATCATAATCCGGATCTCCGGCTGTCAAGCGTGATACGGGTTTAGCAGCTGTTTCACTTAGCACTTGCATTATCACCCTTATTGACTAATAAACTTCCAAAGTCTTTTTTAGGATTCTGTCGGGTTTTAAATGTCGCAGTCTTGCTTGAGAGAATGATGAATGCTGTACTTGTAGTCGTTCTACCGGTGAGAAAATATTGTCACATGTAATTTACGATTTATTTACAGATAACGCACGGGTAGAACATACGATAATTTTCTCATTCCATTCATATACTATATATTTAGATGTCTATAAGTTATGGCTGTTTTAATTAAAATTGTCGAACGCAAATCATAAAGTTAGAAATGTCTGATAACTCGGATTTGATTCATAACTTAAAACATAATGATCAGTGTTTTCACCACAGTTCTAACATTTTTAGCGATATTCATTAATATGGCGAATCCATTTACTAAGGTATTAAGAAGTAAGAAAACTTTTAAATTTGGGATAAGTAGAGCTCATCGGAGGTTACTCGTCGGCGAGACGTACATGCCCATTTGTGGGATAGATTCGTATGAAGACGATATATTTGGTTGTATCACGGATATCGCAGAGAAAAACTCAAACACGAAAAGTGGGATACTACAGAAGAAGCTCTTCGGCGAGTTTGAAGAGGACAACGATACTTCAACCAGAGTTACTTACTTCTGCAACGGTATAGCGATGTGTCGCTACCTACAGGGTACCGCTAATCCTATCGGTTTGCCGGATAAGCTTTGAAGTGGATGTGTCCAAATTTTGTAATACTAAAGGCTGTGTTGCGTTTTATTATAAAAGCTATTTTGTTGCTAGATTCGCTACTAGAAGAAGCGAAAGAGTGTATTAAATTTCTTCGCAATGATGTTCACACGATCAGAGCTGTTGCTTTTATCTCGCTTGCTCCCAGTTATTACTCCGGCCGTCGGGATCTTGACGAGGGTAAATCCCCTTTCTTCGTACACAGGGTTTTTACCGCGCGTCCACGGAATATGACGTGAGACGTGTCGAAGCTCGCTACGGCCCGAGGAAATATTCTACATGTCTCGCCTATTCCGGCTCAGCGCCTGAAATGGGTAATCCTAGGACTGAGCACATTTTGCTACATCTTTCGACCCGCTAGGTACTTTACTGATGTTACTAGGTTACCCGCACTATATTTAGTGCAACAACGACGCCAACACTTCCCATCGAATTCTACTGAACAGGTCTTTGTTTGTCTGAACTTCTGTTATTTGTGCATCTTAGACTTAGTGTTCAATACTTATAAAAATTTCTCGATTCCCATGTATTTATAAATTATCGATGGTCCACAGTATTCGAGTCGTCGGCATCGACCGGATTTTTATTTATACAATTTAGATATTTTTCTTTGGTAAATGAAATAGCAATATTCAAATTAATTACAATTTTTTTAATTTACAAAAAAAAGAAGCATAAAATGACCAAATAAATTTCTATCGGAATGTAAATATTCTAGTCAAACTTAAATTATATACAAATAATATTCAATTTCGTACACAATGTATAACTTGAAGGCGTCGAAATTCTCGCAAGAATATCTCAGTAGAATCTATTTTACCATATGTTTAAGTTGCACTTCGCGACGTCTGCGCACCGTTCCATGTCAAACGAAATGTTCAGGGGCGGTGTAGTCGTCTTTCTGATTCCGACGACTGGCGGCGCCGTGCTTGTCGTCGTGTCCTCTTCTACATCTTGGAGCACTTTACTCTTGAGTTTCAAACATCTTTCGGTGCCATCTTTACACGGTCTTCTATCGGTCAATTTAGTCGTTTTTAATGCCTCTAACCTGATGATCGGCCTGTCACTGCGCAACGCCGAACTCTGTATACAATCTGTTCCTATACTAAGAATAACGAGAGTCCCGAGAAGTAGTAACATTATTAGCGATTACCACATTCCGTGATTGTACTGGATTTAATATTTGCCTTTGTACCTAATTTCCACCTGCACAGGTGGAAATTAGGTACAAAGGCAAATATCGGTATCGCATTTATTGAGATTGTAAATTGAATGACGTTATTGTTTTCAATTTGTTATGTTTTTATCGAGTAGCCTACGTGCTTATCAGTGATTCCAAAATATTCGAAGCATTATTTCCTTTAGAACTAATCTTAACATTACATTTAAATAAACCACGTCAACGGTTTAAAACGCGATATATTTTAGTTAAACTTGTTTGAAAATTATTTTTAACTTACGGTTCGGATTTCGACCGAAACGTAACCTATGTATGATCTATTTCTGTGATATATTTGTGCAATAAAGAGTTTGATCATTATTAGAATTGTCACATTTGGTATCCGTTGAAGAAGAAAAGCCAACATTCTTTGTTAATATCCTTTCCCCTTTTCGCGTTGTAAGGGTGTCCGACCACCCTTACAACATTATATATTGCGAAATATTTACTAGTGAAAATGAAATAAACAATAATTATACGAAAGGAATTTGTGTCTGTCGCGAATAAATAACTCGACACAGTATTTGGGTTTGGCGCGACGTTTCACCGCCAACGTCCGGTGTCATCTACTCGATGGAACTCTCTAATCATCTAATGAATTAAACGATTTGCAAATTGATATCAATGTCACATTGCCTCAAAGTGTGTGTCAATATTTGTCAAAAAAAAGGAATTATCGACCAAAAGTTCATGGAATATTGCGTATGCCTGCGAATTTAGTACAATACTTTTATGTTCAAACATAAGTTAGAGACGTTACTAGCACGAACCGCGCCATTGTTGGTTTACTTTTGAATTCCGTTTTCACTTGACACGTCTGTAACGTGGTTCCGGTGCCTTTATTAATAAAAATCCTACGCGTCAAATCCTGCTTAAGTTAACAAATTTTTAATTTTTTGCTTAGAAATTTTCTGTAATAAAACGCTTGCATTGATCTTTGGTAACGAAAGAAATCATATGAAATAAATTAATACTATTTGAAGTTTATGTATGTAGTATGATGGATTATACACATATACACACACATACAACCACATGGCATTCTTGCCAGAATAAATACGAAATGTTTTTTGTGTCCGCTGTAGTCGATTAAACCTTCTTTTGTTTGCGTGACTAAAAACAATAAATTTGGTTCTTGACAAAATTGCAAACTTTATACAAATTGATTTTCATATTTTGTGAATAGTGTAGGTACTGTTTTTATGAACACGAATTACTATTTTCGTAGATCGCATACTTTGATGAACTTTGTTTTGTATGTGTAGTAAGTATGTTCGCCTCGAACAAAGTAATCTCTGCTATGAAAAAAAGGATGACAACAGTGAAAACTATAACGTGAAAATCCTGTTGCAAAAATGCAAAACCTTCACGAACCAGCGTTTAGTACGATTCCGCAGAAGCATAGAGAAATTCGTTCGAAGGATAGAGTCGCAAATAGAGAAGTTATCGGTTGACGTGTGAGTTACTTAGCGCTATTTGTTTAACGGATGTCGACGATAAAATTTCGTACCTCGTGTTTGTAACGCGTGACACGTCCCGCTGTTTGTGAGGTAGCGGCCACGTTCACGAGAAGAGCGGCATATACTGGAAACAGGACGAATCAATGGGAGTATTGATTTGTCCAATTCTTAGCATTTGCCGCTCACAATAAATGTTTCGACCAAAGGCTTGTAGGCTACATTGCGCTCAGGATTATATTTAAATTGTGACCAAATGTTTATATGTCAAAATGAGATAATTTTTTTACTAACATTTTTGAACCTATGTTTTATGTGTCTAACGGTTTGAAAGTTGATTTTAAAGAGCGATTCGCACTCTCTTCTAACGTGTCCCACTCATCACAGCACTGTTTCCGCGGATGGAATTTTATTCCGTCAGTTAAAACTATACGAGTTCCACTTTATTCGCCATCGAAAATACCTCTCCTGAATATTAAAACTCAAATATAGTTTTCACATTAATTGTATACTGAGTATAAATAAATCACGCTCTTTGCATCCCATTTACTGGACCTAAACGAGATATTTATTTATACCGATTGCATGGCTCACCGTTCTGTAAGCATATATGTGTAAGTTCCGATACAGAAAAAATAAAGGGCGGTGGAAAGGTAGACTAATAATTAATTCATGAGCGATATAAATATAATTTATCTGTAGCGTGCGACGCGCAACGCTGCAACTCGGTTATAAAGCGCACTAGAATAAGGCTACAACTTTTATTGGAAAACTTCGGCCGAATTTGCATGTCGTGAACGTTATTAAAAACGCTTGTAAAACTTATAAAGGGTACTTTCGATCTAGAGTGGCTCCAGACGACTTTGCATATGATCCCTGACCCACGAAAGCCTGCATTTTATATCTATCTTTTCAATAAGTGAGGGAGGACTTTTCAAAGAATTATACTATCGACAAATAAAGGGGTTTTCCCGGAAAAGCGTTTTAACGTCGTAGTCTGTAAGATTTCGACCAGAAGAAACATAGAGATGTTTACCTCGAGGGAGAATAAGGTAGTGCTCTTAAAAATGAAATATAAGGGTGTTATTATGAAGGAGCGAACCCGTGTCACGGCGGATAAGTAACGGTCGTGTGTCTTCATCCTGAAAACAATGAATTGATATTGCTTTCCCTTTTGACAGTGCACTGTTATTATTGTCCACTTTGTTTAGCGTGAGCCACTTCTGTCTTGTACCTATATATTAAAATAGTGTGGCTGACTAGCTATTGCTTTTATCGCAAGGTTGTAATAACAATAAAATAAAATGGAAGTTCAGTATAGTAAGTAGAATAGTAATTACTATTCCTAACATTCGTCATCTCAAATTCGATTGCATTGGCTTTCAAATGTAATGTATTGTTTTGATAATGTTGGCGGGTTTGAACTTTATTCTGTTAATCTTGAGGATATATGTCACATTTCGACTTTAAGATATTAATTTTAATTGATATTCTTTTCTTAATGATAGAGGAGGACAGAAAAGCGTGGGTTTCACACAATGGTATGGATGCACTTTATGATATTCAGAAATTTAAAGACTGACACCTAAACGCGACTGAGCTTCACAGTATTATTTTATCTATGGACAGTTGTTCGTCTCCCGAACGGAATTTCTTTATTTCTACCACCTAATTCCTACTTAGGTTTAATTTATTTCCCCCCTCCGACGATATTTGTGCGAACACCCTTATAGTATGATCTAATAATAATTAACGGTTTGCAGATTTCATAGCATCATAAACAGTGGCTCGGTATTTCAGTAGCCAACAAATCAACGTTGAATTAACAGCTACGCTTAATGGCTCCCAGACTATCGCCATAACTATATTAATCCACTTACCGCTTACGATTCGAGTCGGATCGGGAACTACGTTGTAATGTTGCCGATTATTATTGTTAATGCCTTGACATTGGTCGGTCTCCAAATGAACGTAAGAAATTGACATTTTTCGATACAACCGTTATGTTCTAAAGAAAGCCAGTACTAATTAATATATAGTGAACTTCGACGAAATGATAGCAGACATCCTCCAAAGTGCCAGTTAGTGTTTCTCAAAGTCACGTGGCAAGTTGACTCAGTGTCTAATTAGCGAAGTAACAGAGAGAGAGGTACATATCTGTCGTGGATCGTGAAGAGCCCTAACTTTAGCTCAGATGCGGTAAATGGAGTCGGAGAATACTCAAAGCCGAAGGAGAGTGTATTGTGTTGTCTTCCTTCACTTAATTACACTTAGGTATTCATAAGGTTCAACTTGCAGCGCGATCGCTTTCGGCGAATAGTTTCGGCGGAAGGTGTATCAATAGGCGTTGACTTTGTTACCTGGGCGACAAGTAGAGCAAAATATCACAAATGTTTTCATACCATCGTTTAGTTTTTATTATTTAACATACATATATTATTATATAATTATTATGAATTATTTAGTTTATTTAAATATTATTTAAATTCCAATCCTTTATTTAAATTCCAAATACTGTATTGTAATAGTACATTATGATATAAATGCGGTAAGTTGAGCCGAGGCAATATTAATAGCCCGGGTCATCGACTATAAGAAAGCAGAGGCTGTAATTTTCAAAGCGCACTTATGTTATACGACGTTTTATAACATATTTACGAGGAAATTAATAAATTCATCACTACTTCACGAAATTTTCAAATAAAAACAATACAGCGAAAAGAAAAAGCGCGTTGAACTATTTCTACTTGTCCACAAATGAGCGATGCGCGCACATCATCCTTTTTTTTTAAACAGCCAGTATTACTAATAAAGTAAATTAATATTTTTGTGTTTTTGTTACAGATAAATGGTTGTAATTTGTTGTCAAAATTAATTAAATTAAATGTTTATTTGTTAAATTTTGTTTCCCAATCTTAATTTTATTCATAAAATATTGACCACTTTCTTGACATAAAACCTCTTTGCTAAGATTTTTAAAAGTATCGTTCATTTTTAGACGAAGTATCTTAAAACTTTATTAAAAAAAAAACACGTGCCTTTTACATTACATTATCGCACAAGTACGTAATTACATACATTACTTACTTTACGAGCAAATATGTTATAAAAGCTATTAAAGGTTTCTGATCACAATATCATCTCCCCTCTCTGTTTATTTTTATATTCGTTAGCCCTTTTGATTCACGTGCAATGAAAGCTCAACAACAGTAGTCGTGTTAGTTTAAAACAAAAGAAGACGTATCTTGGATTATCCTTTATTTACTATTTGCACTAGTTCAAGCGAGTTTCCACTTTTCGACGCTGAAAGGTCTGTGACGCTGCAGGCGATCGAGTTACTTATGTAACTGGCTTTATTTTTACATTTCAACTTTCAGCTAAGAGCCTTCTCTTTTAGATGATCAACGTCGACCCGCTTCGGATTCACTTACATAACGACGAACGGTTAATCAATGCTATTTTCGTTCTATCGAAGGATTCTAATTCGTCAAGAAGACTTTAATTGACATTGATTCGATTTGTTTTCTCATTGGATTCACTGAAATCGTTTAACTGAATATGAAATATTCAATTAAAGTTAAAGAAAGTCATTTAAAACAACAGATTTTAAACAAGTTATTTATGGATAAACTTACTTAATAACTAATAATAAATACTGAAAAACTAACTTGAATGCGAATCTTGCGATACATTTGTATAAAACATTGCAATTTAGTTCAGCACGAAGAAATGTAATGTTACCCTGTTGAATGAGTGAAACGGTTGCGGTAAACGATGTAAAAGTGGGCTAAAAAAGGTGGAACCCAGTGCAGAAAGCTCGAGCAATCTATTCAGGGTTCCGTGTCAATTAAACGAGATTTGCTTTGATGCGGCTGCAGGCAGTGGCGCCAAATTTACTGCAACACACTCTTCGTTACCATCTACGATACATGAGTTCGGGGGTGATAAGTTTTGTCGCAACCGCTCCTTAACTTTGCCTAATCAGTTCGCTGGACTGAAATAGAACGTACGCATTCGTTCCTAGAATTTCCAGCAGAAAAAGTGTACAAAACCTTCGTAATTCATTTAAAAACGAACGTACGTTATATTTTCAGCAGAACCCAATAACGGGGCAATTTTCAGTAATTTATTAAAATTGTAAGGTATAGCATTTGGTCAAGCATATCGATATCATTTTGAATGAAACACTTAAAAGTTTAAAACGCGAAATGTATTAGTTAAACTTATTTACAATTTATTTTAACTACGACCCGTCGTATGGAATGTTTTGCAGCAGCCCAGGTGTTAGTGAGTTAAATCTTAAGGCCGTCCTGGGAAACGGTTCTGTGTAGGTCCACCTAGTTTATCCAAATACCAACTACGAGGATACAAACGCTAGTTAGTAGCCAATTTTAAGTTAGACATTAGCGCCAGTCTTTACGAGAACTTTCAGTTCTCCCGTGATCGTGATTACTGCAAGCATCCGAAGCGTCGGGCCGTAGTTAAAATAAAATGTGAAGCTCTTGCTGTTTGTAAAAAAGTACGCCTACTATAAAGTCACAAGCATTAATTCTCCGACGTTTATTGTTCCTTAAAATAAACTGTTAGATGTTGCATGTAGTTCAGTAAAAATCGGAAATGAGTGAGAGTATTGATAAAATTATGGTAAATAACGGAAAAAAGGAACAGCTAGTTATTTTGGTAACCATTTTTTTTTTCAAGTTGTAATCGCTCGCTACTGGCAGGTTGCAAAATGAGATTCAACTATAAATTAGAGAATGTTTCCGAAACGGAACGATGACTTCGAAGATCACTCAAAAGCCAAAAGTGTTGAATGAGCGCTTTTCGACTGAATTACGCAAATAAAAAAACACGAAGCGTCGAATTATAATATCTTTTGTGAGGCCTTCGGAAGTTTAGAAGGGAGCGTGTTGCGACAAGAGTAAACAACTCGAGCGCCACTTAGAATTCATCGCGAAATTTCTTTCTTCATAAAAGTGAATTAGGTCGAACGTTTCCAAGTTGTTAGCGAACTTTGAATACTTCCAGTGTCAAATATTAGTTTATCAAACGGCAGGAAATTTAATTTGAATCGCGAATTAGGTGATAAAACGATCTCGGAAATTTTCAAAACAATTTAATAGGAGCGAGAACGTCAAAACTTCCTTACGAACGATGCTACTGGACGGATCCAGCGTTGTGACGAGTTCACCGCGAACGCGGGAATCGCTCCAAAATACGGGCCATTTGTTTCGGAAGCATTTGTTACTTCCCAAAATAAAGGTTTAATGCCCGTAATAACCGAGTCCCAAACATTTGTACAACTGCCATAAATCTACGCATAAACGAAAAAAGCGTGTGAAATATCTCGTCGCGAAAGCCTCCATAAATAATTACAAAGGTCTCGTTCTCCCGCGTTCTTTAAGATTTCGTTAGCGCCCTCGCGACCCGCGCTGAATCTCGATTAGAGAAGACAAAGCGCGTCTTCGAAGTGGGAATCAATTAAAGCGGCCCATCGATTCATTGCGCCCGATAACGTCGGGGTGGGAATGCCCACTCGATAAGACCGAGCGCGCTTTTTAATTACTTCCAGGCTCCGATCACATCTCGTTGCCGTCCGTCAGCGCCTTCTGTGTCGGGTCGAGGTGCGTTATCCGGCTGATTTACTACCCGCACTCGTCGCTCTCCATAACAATTTTATTGATGGAAAAAAGATTGCTCCAAATGATAGAATTCACTAAAACGAGGTCGTGTTTTGTACTAATTTATTTAATGTTATTTACATCCAACTCTGCGTCGCAGGTCGTTAATAAATAATTCTATCGATACATACCTTAAATCGTTTGTACATTAAATTACATCTAAATAAACCAATGGATTGATATGACTTTCATAATATTTACTTTATGTGCAATAATTTTAATATTTACAACGAACAAGCGTGAGGGGCAAGCTCGGTTACGTAAAAAACGAACCTTAAACTAAATTACACGTAACGAAGTTTCCGGAAGAGTCAAGGATTTTAATGAGTGATAACATCTTTGGCACGATTAGTACTAATTAAGAGCGCCGTGCGAAGCGAGGTATCACAATTAATATTTTAAGTCATAATTATTACCCTAAGTACACTCGAAGGACGATCACTTAAAAGGGAGCCGTGGAAGGCAATTAAAGTGATATATTAACACAATAGCCATTATTAAGAACTAATGGAGTCGTTTTCACAATTAAACATACAGCTGCTGTAAATAATATTACAATATAGGTGGACCGTGTTCAATTGAGCGTACCGTGAAGGTCGGCGCGGGTCTTCCGAGGCTGCGAGATTAAGAACCGGCCTAACATTTCGTATTTAGTGCGGATATTTTTATAATAAAGACGTTTTAGAATTACATCACGGAACCAAGTCACTAAAGTGAAATGACTAGTATTTAGATTCTCTGAGTCTTTACTCACTTAAGCGTAGCGTTTGCGAGTACAAAGCAGAGACTGTTCTTAATCTCGCAAGTGAAACAGAGTGAAGACAGCCCAGGTCCACTAAAGGAGCTAAATAGCATCAATAAAGCTCTGACCAAAATGCACAATATCAACTTAACCGTGAGGACACATTGTATAATTTATTCTTACTCGACGTACTTTGATATTTAATAACTTCGAAAATATAATCTTACTCGAAATATTCACAAAGGATAGGGTTGACACGATATTTGTTGATATGTTCTTTCTAATGAGGATATTGGGATTATACTCGTTATAGGTACACGTCTTTCCGACCCGGGTTTCCGACCGGTCGAGATAGGCCGCCATTACACCGTCGTGCGCAAGCGCTGTCTAAGGTAGCTTCGCAGTGATTTAATGTTTAATTTACTGACGTTTGAATACAACAACAATGTTTGCACGAAAGTGTAACGACAGGAGCGAAGGTATCTAGAAACAAATGAAGAAATCCGCCAAGAGGTCTATATGGACGAGGACGATTAGAGCCAAGAAAGAGCGTCGCCAACACTTCATGCCTGCGGTACCTGAAACAAAAAACGTATAGTTAATGACGTATCGCAGTTCATTTCTAACAGAATACGAAAACTAGTTCATTTTCGACATGTTTCAAAATAATAGAGGCATTCAGCGAGCGAAACAAAGGCCGCGTGACCTTGGGCCGAAAGAAATAAACAATAATATCTAGAGAAATCTAGACGACGCGGACAGAAAGAGACGAAAATGGCGAAAAATTCGGATCGGAGTTAGCTCAAAATGCAGTGAATAAAAACAAAAGGCGTCAAGAGTTATGCCTCGAGTTGTCAATGCTTGTGTCACGAAATTTTATATACGAATAGATACGGACCTATGTATCAGCCGGTTCGGAGCAATGTGAGGAGTCCTCGGCTCGATCTCCAGGGAAACATGACAGATTGGTTCTAGGTGACAGGGGTTTCAACTTATTTACTACTTAACTAAGTGGAATAAAAAATTGTAATTTTTTAACATTTTTACTCAATCAATAAAAAAACCAGTTAATAACTTCTGTCTTTGTCGTAGTGATATTTCATCCGAACAGTCGACATTACATCCGTCCGAAGAGTGTTCCTTGAGCTCCGCGCTGCAGAATTGATCGAGCGGGTTCCGCGCTGAATATTTATTAGGGTTAAGTGTATATGCGAACTCGTTGAATGTTTAATCTCTATTTGGCGGCGCGTACGACCGCACACCTAGCTCCGAACTTCCAAATCAAATATATGAAGCCTATGCGTTTGAGGAGGTTTGACAATTCATGCGGCATTAGAGAATCGCTAGAATCACTTCGCCGTCAAACGTCGAGCCTCGGCCCCATCCCGTAGACCCCGTGTTTGATTGCGATTACTATTTCAGTGAACTTACATAGTTTTGTAACACTACATATTATACTTAAATAGTATTCTATTTTTAAAAGAAGGTACTTAATCTGTTTATAATTTATTTTATCTGAGGCCCTTGCTTTCGGCCTTTTTGAAGTTGTGGTTATGACGCTTTAAACCGTTAAAAGTATTTATTTAAATGTGTAATACTCGCGTAAACGACAGACAGTAGGTACTTAGAGTAATAAATATTAAAATGTGTACATTTATTCAGTCTTTTTTTAACAAGTGTACGTTGTTGTGCCCGCGCCCATACAAAGCGTATTAAATGCTTTATAAAAGTGCGCCTAAACGGAATCCATTCGCAGATCTCTCTTTAATCCCTCCCACTTTTGCGTATTTAGAGTCAATACGAATAAAAATAGTGAATATTTTCATATATTTTCCGGCGGTGTCGTTCCGCAGTTTTCCGTCAGAGTGACGTCGGCCCGGCATTAATAATGTACTATATTGTTACAAAGAATACGGCGCGGTGGAAAAATGGCGCGGTAAACTCGCTTTTTTATTGAACAACGCTTTTGTTTCTTTAAACCTAGCATACTTTGCATTATTTATCCGTGCATTTTGCAACATGACGTGGGGACCGATTCACGGTATCTTACGTTAGTGCTTGGCGTATTTTTGTCGAAATAATGTGAACCATTGCGTCAAACTCCGTCTTCTATTTCATAGCATTTCTGGCTTCCATCTTCAGGAGCAGTATTGTTATAAATTCCAATAGAATTACCTAATTGTCCCCATCTTGTACATAAATTACTCGATTAATGTAGTAAGTGGCAGTTCTTAAAAGCGAATGTCGGAAGTTTTGTCAAAGGCTCTCACCACAAACTGTTAGAAACTTCTCGCGAATTATATTATTGTCCGTCTCGTAGATCGTAAACAACGATAATATATTTTATGAGCATCGTCCATTTTGTACAGACCTCTCAGCAGTAGCTAATAGAAATATCCCGAGCTCAAATTACACTGTTTTGTTAAAATATGGTATTATAACTAACCGTGAACAGGTACTAAAATGTGTTATATTGCTTGTTTTTGCACTATTAAGTATTATAATGTTTTTCATTAGAGATTGAATATGAATTATTCCGTATCAACGCGACTTATTACAGATTTTGCTGATGATTTTTTTGAAACAATTCTATTAACTACGCACTAACGCTACGTATTTGAATGAAGAGGAATGACAACTAATGATGAAGCTGTAAAATAACATACAAAGAGAAAAAAAAACTTAGATTGAACAATATGCAAATTAAAAGGGACATATACATATCGGTACGGAATCTGAGGGGCAGTGAGGTAATCTCAAGCTCCGTGCCGAGCTATAAAACAGAGTTTAAAAAGACCATCAAACCTTTTTATACTCTGTACGGCGGGAGACGAAGGCGGGAGCGTACCTGAGTCGTGGTGCGGGTGTGCGCGGTACACTTGCGCGCGGTCAGGAACACGGTCGAGCTGCGCGCGCACCACGCTCGGCCGCTCGGTCGCGCTCGCCGGCTCGCGCTGAACCGCTCGCGTAACGTTCGGGCGACGCACGCCTGCAAACGCTGCATTCATTTCAAATTTACGACTAGTCCCGAACTAATTATATAATTAACTGAAAACTTTAATGTTTTTCACATACGAGCATTGTTGCACACGTAGGTGTTGTATAAATTAAACATCTATTTAGATTGAACAAAAATAATAACACGGGCGGGACTCGAACCGGCATCCACCTCCCGGCACCTCTCGTGTGCTGTAGTTGCAATCTTATTTACGCGTTGAGCCTCACTGAAGTCACTTGCAGCTTAAGACATCATTCAAATTAAAAAAAAAACACGGAACGCTGTGAATGGAACGGTTCACCCATCTCATTATGTTTTTTGAATCTAAATTGATTTTTAAATTACCATTAACGTCCAATTATTCAAAGAATTTATTCTCGTCACCAACGCAAACAAAATTATTTTTGTTCATTGTGTCTTTTTTTAGTAGAGTAAAAAAAAATCACCCAGCGCGATAATAAGAGGATTGAAAATAAAACTAAGCAAAAACTTTTAAGGCGACTGATGACAAAACAATACGCAAGTATGTAAGTTCTCTGCAAGAAAGGCATGGCAGAATGAAACAGAGTAGGATTGTGATGTACGAGTTATTGTCCTATCGAGAGATGGCCTAATTCGGTTGGTCGGTTCGAGAATGAGTTGCCAATTGGTACTCACTTTCCTTATTGGCGGTACTCTTCATTTCGGTTGCCTTTGGCGACGTCGACGGCATCGGAATTTCTATAAAAAAAAAACAATGATATAACTAATTCCATTTTTACTTTTAGAAGCGTAATTTTTTTCGAGTTTGAATACACAAGGGGCAACTTACAGACTAAAAATAGAACTTTAGCAGAAACGATGGATAATAAAAGTTACCGTAAAGCCTGATGGAGCCTTCAGTTTCCCCGAGGGAGTTCTTTGAGATGCAGCGATAGTTGCCGAAATCACCTCCTTGCAGGTTTCGAACCGTTAGCTTCATATGTGCCCTGCACGAGAGACGTTTTTAGCAGGTTTTATAGAAATTGGCTTTAATAGCCAACTGAAAGTACTCGTCAAACTGTTACATACATATAGTTTTACATATACAAGTAATTTAGTAGAAAACAAAATTAGTTTATTTCTTAGTTGAGATACTTCATAGCTAAAAGTATTTTATAAATATTATCATAGATAGCTAAAGACCGAATTCAAGGTTTTTCGAGTGATAAAATTAATTAAATTATTAGTGTTTACTTTATTGTTGAATCGAATTATTTTTGGTGCTAATCGTCAATTATCTTTTTATACATTTTTGTACTTGTCAAGGCGCTATTTACATTTATATGGCTTTAATTCTTTTTTGTTGTCCGCGTATTAAATTCTCTGTATTAAATTACTCTGTCAGTGTGTATGGTAAAGCGGTAAAAAACATGTCAACAATAAAAAGCAAATTGTCGCGTTTTGTGTGTGAATTGTTCAATGCAATAAAAATAAGTAGATAGAAAGCTGCTCGCACCGGTAAGAGTTCTCATCGGTGTTGATGGCGTATTTCTTGGTGGGCAGCACCATGACGTTGTCGTAAACCCAATACGAGATGGCACGAGGGTGGGCCTCCGTGTGGCAGTCCACGGTGACGTCGGTGCCGGCCGGTGCGCCCACGAGCTGGTTCGGTACCCAGATCATCGGAGAAACTGAAAAAAGGTAGTAGAGGAGTAAAATAAATAATTTTCATACGTCATTAAAATTAAATAATTGACGTAAACGTTTACCAATTCAATTTGTTTTTTTAAATGGCCTTCGTCTTTTTTATAGACCTTGTGATTTAAATAATTGATAAAAAAAGGGTATAGAAATTACTTTTATTTGTGATAGTCTTTACCGCGTATAATATATATATCGGCGCAAAACAGGCAATGCGTTACGTCATCGCTGCACGTGTTCCTAACGGCGTAAACAAGTGACTCATATCGGCACAAAAAACCCCCCCCCCCCCCCCCCCCCCCCCCCCCCCCCCCCCCGGGGCCCCCCCTTCCCCCCCCCCCCCCCCCCCCCCCCCCCCCCCCCCCCCGTTTTTTTTTGGGGGGGCCGGGGGGGGGGGGGGCCCTTTTTTTTAGGAGCTAGACATCGTACTACGCACTCGGGCCTACTTATTACAAACAAGTCTCCGTTCGGTTTTGGTGACCAAAACCGACGGAGTAACCAACGAGAAGCCGCCCAGCACAACGATCGCCAGCCTGTCGCGCTGAACCTTGCCTGTGGCTAGCTCCGGCCTCCCACCAGCGGGTCTCACCGGTAGCGACGCCTCTGGGGCGAGGGAACGCGTTGCAGGCTTCAGGCCGTGCACGACGTCTCCTAACACCTTCAACATCGAATACGATGAGCCAGAACAACTCCACCGGCTCGACGCCGGGCGTCCCCCGCTCCCGCTCTGCAAGCGGTCGAGCGGGCTCGCGACGCGATCCGGCCCGGGCCGTTGAACCCGCCACTCCCGCACCGCGCCCCCCCGCCCTCGGAGCGGGGGAGGCATTATACGACGCCGGGATTCACCGAACCCTGTCGGATCCGGGGTTGAGTCGCCCACGCCCTAGCGTGCGAGCGCCCCCCCGCGACTCCTGCCATCCCGCGCCGCCTGCCGCCGCCCCTTTACATCCGCCGCCGCCGCCACGATCACCGCCGCCGCCGTCGCCACCGAGGTTACCGCGACACCACACCCATCCGTCCTCCAGGACTCCATTGAGTCCCATTTCCTAGCGCTTTCGCAAGGCTCGCCGGAGACCCTGGACGCGATGTTTCGGTCCCTGGCTGGGGACGTCCCACCAGCGCCGCGGGGTTCCCCGAGAGCGTTACTTTATTCGGACGCAATTGCTTACGCAATTGTCAGGAAGCAAGTGGCGTTCTCGGACGGCCTACACGCGGCGGTCCGGGCGTACCTGGACAGGGTCGAGGCAGAGTTAAGGGCCGAAGGCTTGCTAAGCACTCCCTTGACGCAGGACGAGTCGGCTGTTGCTCATAGCAACATTGCACGCTCGACCCCCCTACGTCGCCCCCGACCCGAATCCCCTTCTTCACCCGACCGCGAGTCCAAAAGGCCCTGCCAGGACTCGGCCTTCCCGTCCCTCCCGGATCCCCTCTCTCAGCGGGACCCTCGGTTGCGGCGTAGGCTCGCGCTCCCCGTCACGGAGCCCGCCGCTACTGCCGCGCCCGTCGCGCCACCCGCGCCAGCCTCGCGCGCCGTGCCTCCGGCGCCTGCCTCGCGCGCCGCACCGTCCGCGCCCGCCGCCGCACCTACCGCCGCGCTCGCCGCGCCTGTTGCGCCCGCCGCCGCGCGTATCGCGCCCGCCGCCGCGCTTGCCGCGCCCGCCGCCGCGCCTACCGCCGCGCCTGTTGCGCCCGCCGCCGCACTTGCCGCGCCCGCAGCCGCGCCTACCGCCGCGCTCGCCGCGCCTGTTGCGCCCGCCGCCGCGCCTGCGCCGTCCTTTGCGCAGATGGCCGCCGCTCCTACAGTGGGACGCCAACCCACCTCGCCTCAACCGAGAGTCCAAAAAGCCGCCACAGAGAGGTACCCGCCACTAATAGTCGAGGTACTTCCGGACTGGGTGGCCCACTTCCGTTCTCTCAAAGAACGCCTTGGCCGCGCACCAAATGCACGGCCCTTCGGAAGGGGGGTCCGCTTCACCCCGCAGGATGGCGACGAATATCGCATCATCCAGAAATACCTGACGGAGCTGGAGCGGACAAACGGAGTGTCCTGGTTTTCTTATTCGCTCCCCTCCGAACGAGATCTTAAAGTGGCCATTCGAGGAATCCCAGTGGACACAGACCCCGAGGAAATCCTGAAGGAGCTGCGGGGATTGGGTTTCTCGCCCGAACATGCCCAACCCATACGGGCTACTCAAGGGCGACCCGGCTGCCTGTTCCTCGTGATCCTTAAGAGGACACCCGAGCTCACCCCGGCAATATACAACATAAAGGAGCTCCTCTGCATGCCAGGTGTAACGGTGGAGGCGTGGCGAGGGAAAAGCGGGCCGTCGCAATGCCATAGATGCCAGAAATTCCGCCACTCCTCCCACCACTGCCACCGTCCCCAAGCCTGCGTACGATGCGGCGGGGAGCACCGTGCGACAGACTGCCCACGCCCCAAAGAGGACCCGGCGACCTGCGCAAACTGTAAGGGCGCGCATCCCGCCAACCACACGTCGTGCCCCGTATTTCGCGCGGAGGCCAAAAACAAGAAAGCGGGCACGGCAGCATCTACAGTCGCTACGGGAAACAAGAACGCCCCGGGCATCGAACCCCGACCCCAGCGACGGAGAGCGAGAGGCAACAAAGAGGAGGGGACAGAGAACAGACGAGAGCGAGACAGAGCGAGATCGCCGCTCGCTCCGCCCCTCCCGCCTCAACCCGCCGTTCGAGCGCAAAGCTCAAACATCGTCGTCGGCCCGCGCAGCGCGGCCTGCCCTGAAAAGAAGCAAGGAGAGCGGTCCAGCCCGCTGCCGATCGACCGCTAACCATATCGCAAGCTGCACTAACAAGCATTGTGGAAGCAGCCGTCCACACGGCCATTGCAGCACTGCAGCCCGCAGGCGCGCCTTCCGCCCCGAAAGCGGTTCCCAGCCGAGGCAAAACGGGTCAGAATGTCCCTTAGAATCCTGTTCTGGAACGCAAACGGCCTAAAGCGGAAGGCCGCCTTTGTAAAAATGCAACTGAGGCTGCATAACATTGATATCGCCTTACTAAACGAGACACACCTGCGCACGGAAGACAAATTCCAAGTACCGGGATACATTACCTATAGGCAGGACCACATCTCGCCGACGGGCACGGCCTATCGCGGCCTCGCCGTGCTCATAAGGAGAAACCGGATCCACCAGCGTCTCCCGGACTTAGACCTCTCGTTCGTGCATGCACTCGGAGTCGAACTGGAGTTTGACGGCCAACCGGTCGCAATGCACGCCGTCTACGCACCGCCGGACGGAACTTTCAACACACAGGACCTCCGCAAACTGTTGCCCCCGCACACGGCGTGCATCGCAGCAGGCGACTGGAACGCCAAACACGAAGAATGGAATCCCGCATGCACGAACACCCGAGGCCGAGCACTACACGCCGACGCAGAGCAGCGCGGCTACATTATTGCGGCACCGGACGTTCCCACCCATTATCCCGCAAATGACTCCCACAACCCCTCAACTATCGACCTTCTCCTCCATCGTGGCATCTCCTGTATCCTATCCCTCGATGTCATCATGGACGAACACATGTCCGATCATCTCCCTGTCATCAGTACGTTGACTCCCTCTAACCCCCCGCCTCCCCGCTCCCCGCGAGAGACGTAGCATAGATTGGCATCTCTTTCGCACGATCCTCGCCTCCCTCCCCCCGTTCGTGCCGCCGTCCTCCGCGCTGCAAGTCGATCAGCTGGCCGCCGACTTAACGGAGCACATACAACGAGCCATGGGGGAAGCCACCACCGTTCGCACGGTACCACCGACGGAGCCAGACATCCCGCCGCACTTGTTGAGGCTAATTAGAAGGAAGCGCGCACTTCGCCGAACCTGGCAGCGCAATCGTTGCCCACGACTTAAGATAGCGATACGTCTGTTAGCGGAAAAGATAGGCACGGAGCTACAGACGTATCAAGCGCAATCGTGGGAGCGACGTATCGGCGAGGCCACGACAGACTGGAGTAGCCTCAACAAGTTATGCCGAAGCCTGACGAAGACCGCCGTCCCGCCGCGGCCGCTTTTGCACCCCGATGGCTCAATGAAGTACGCCGCCCTGGATAGGGCCGAAATCTTCGCGGAGCATCTCGAACGCCAATTCTCACCGAACCCCGCCGCTACACATCTGGAGGATAGCGTGAAGGCGACCGAGGACGCCGCCTTGAGATTCGCGTCGCCCAGCATCCCTCCAGACGAGGACCCCATCGCTTTCTCGCCGGGTCAGGTGAGAAGAGCTCTCCTCCGCGTCAAACTCAAGAAGGCCCCAGGACCCGATAACATCCCGAACATCGCGCTGCGCCACCTTCCACCGAACTTCGTCGTTGCCGTCGCACGGCTGTTTACGGCGATCGCGCGGCACACACAGTTTCCGGCGTGTTGGAAGGAAGGACGAGTCCGGATGTTATTGAAGCCAGGAAAAAGCGTACTGCAGGCGGCCAGCTATCGACCGATCACACTGTTGCCGTCCTTGTCGAAAGTGTTCGAAGCGCTATTGCTGTCTCGCTTTAACACTTTCTACACCCCGCGCCCCGAGCAATTCGGCTTCCGTGCAGAGCATTCCACAACGCTACAACTAGCCCGAGTGCTGCACGAAGCCGCCTCCGCACTAAACAAGAAGGGCGCAGCTGCTGCTGCATTCCTCGATATGGAGAAGGCGTTCGATCGCGTCTGGCACGCCGGCCTGATCGCGAAGCTCGACGCCATCCCCGTCCCCCGCCGCATCACCTCAATCCTATACTCCTTCCTCCACGGTCGCACCTTCCGCGTTGCAGTCGACGTCGGCACAAGTTCGAGTCCCCGCCGAGTCACAGCGGGCGTTCCGCAAGGCAGCTGCATCTCGCCAACGCTGTACTCGGTCTTCACAGACGACGTCCCTGCCCCGCAAGACACCAAGGTGGCCCTCTACGCGGACGACACAGCATTCATCGCAACCTCACTGTCGTCCCGGCACGCGGCCATCAAACTCCAGCGCGCCTTAGACCTCCTTCCCGATTGGCTTCAGAAATGGCGCTTAACTGCCAATCCCGCCAAAACCCAAGCCATTTGTTTCGGTCGCGGCAACTTACCGCCGTCCCTTTCCTTTAATGGCACCGAAGTCCCTTGGCTAAGCCGCGTCACGTACCTCGGCCTTACGATCGACCGGAGCCTAACAATGAGACATCACATCACTAGAGTGGTCGGTCGAGCCAAAGCGGTCTTAGCCAAACTCGGCCCCATCCTATCCTCCAACATTCCTGTACACACAAAGAAGTCCCTGTACAATGTTTATGTCCGTCCCCACCTCACGTACGCCTCACCAGCCTGGTATGCGCTGGCGTCGACAAAAACAAGAAGAAACGCCTCGACGCAGTGCAAAACAAGGCACTCCGGCGTATTACCAAGGCACCGCGCTACGTGAGAAACTCCACTATCCATCGAGATCTCCGGCAAGCCTCACTCAAAGAGTCCATCGTCCGGATGGCCGAGAAAATGTTCGCGAGGGCCGACTCATCGCGCGAGCAACATCTCCGGCGCCTCGCCCCGTGGCACACCAGGCCACCGGACAGAAGATTCCCACTTCCGCGAGACCTCCTCTCCCCTCCCGACTCCCCGCCTCTCCCTGCAGCAGCAGCAGACGGCAACAGTCAGTGAAACAAACACACCGGATTTGACCCCGAACGCCGATCCCGCGTCTTCGTCCGCTGGTCGCCTCGCTGGGCCTCCCCCGGGGTTACCGGGGGTCTCACCCGGCGGTGCTTGACCGCGAGACGCGGGGGCGTTCACCACCGGGGGGAACAAACCCACCCCCCGGCCGTGCGGGGGGGGGGGGGGGGGGGGCCCCCCCCCCCGGGGGGGGGGGGGGGGGGGGGGGGGGGGGGGGGGGGGGGGGGGGGGGGGAGGGGGGGGGGGGGGGGGGGGTTTGGGGGGGGGGGGGGGGGGGGGGGGGGGGGTTTTTTTTTTTTTTTTTTTTTTTTTTAAAAAAAAAATGGTTTTAAAAGGAAAAAGGGGACCCTTAAAAAAATTAAAAATTATAGGGGGGGGGGGGGGCGGGGCACCCAATTTTAAAAAATTTTCTGGAACCCATTCCTCGACATATAAATTATAAGAAAAATGTAGTTTTTTTCTAGCAATTGATATCAAACAAGATTATATTAATTCATCCCTCATATATGACTCAATTCTCATATGGGACGGTAATAAAAAAAATAAATCAATCGATTGATTTTTGCTCGAATACGTACTTCTTTTCATGTGAGTTCTGGGTAATTTTACGTCGGAAGGACAGAGGCAATACAAAAACAATGAAATGTTAAGGTTGCATATAAAGTTATCTGTTTATAATGAACGAAGTAGATCTGCCGGAGCAATGAGTAGCTTGTCCTGTTAGTTTTAAATAAATAAAACATTATTTAACATATACGAGAGGGTAGACAACGCTACGCACTGTTTTAGGTGGAGTTCTAAAATTGATCTAAGCATATCATGCACTTTGAAATAGTTTTCGGCACTGTATCAATGTGTAAGATCTTTAATGTGTATTACTTTAGTTCGGTTATAGCTTCTCTTTATTATTTAAAGTCAGTATTAATAGGTTCATTCGGTCGATAAATTACAGCGAGTCGAGTAAATAATGGACAGAACACGTCAGAGTGAGGAGTTATTAATCATAACGTTTTAACGGCCCCACGTCGCACGGACTTCGGAGTATAAAATAAACTATCGGAAACTAGGAAGCAATTTATAAATTCCGATATTGATGAATCGTCCCAAGTTTCGCCACTCTCGGCGAACTCTGAACTCCGCCGTCCGCTCGCTCCGATTCCAGGAGCATTTCATAAATATCAGTAAAGGAACCCTTCGGAGTACTTAGAGTTGCGTCAATTTAATTCATTTAGAAAGTACCTCGCTTGATGCCACTGAATATGCGTCGCGCAAAAAGACGCCTCGACCTATTAACGAGTGACGAATAATGGTCAGAGTTCGAGAAGGTTCTTTCGGAGGCGAGTTAATATTCTACGACGTTTTATATTATTTATTAAGTTGCCAACGCGACGCGACTCGCGGCTTCATTACTATGCGGATGTGTGTATGCGGCTTTATAGCGTCATTCGAATGCGGCCTCGCCTTTTTATATTTATCCCGAGTGTACATATTTTTTGTATAGAAAATGTCGATAGAGAGGCTGCCCCTTTGTATGGCGTGTACAAGTTGATCATACATTTCACATTAAATTATAACCGTATAGTAGGTACTAATTAAGGAATAGACAGTTGTAAAAGACAGACGTGTTTATTTTGCTTTCTATTAATATTTTGAATTAATTATTAATATTAGTGTTATTGCACGTATTATGTTTTGATTCAAGTACCTGTAGTGCCAGTTCTAGTTCTCCTTGATAGATATCCGTCTAAAATTCTTACACTTATTCTGCAACATTTGTCATACATACACTATGGATGCACTAAAGAAGAGTCTTGATGAGATGAAAGAATCCTTCCAGAACCGGATGAAACAATTTCAGACAGATCTACAGTTGGGTAACTCTGGCTCCGCTAGCTCCCCTAATGGATTGGCCTCTGACTTTGCAGTCTTCAGGTCATTTGTGTTGTCCTCCCTCGAGTGCCTCCAAAGTCAAATGAATCTTCTTGCGAGCCTAACTGACCAGGTTGAAACCAGAAGCCGCCGTAAGATAGTTCTTGTGCATGGTGTTCCCGAGGCAACAAAGGAGGATACAGCATCTCTTGTCATTAACACATTGTTGAAGCATATCTCCATTCCTGAGCTTGTCCCAGAGACAGTTTCTCAATGCCACAGATTGGGTCCAACTAGGTCTAATAAGCCAAGGCCTATCTTGGTTAAGTGCCGAGACCTCTCCACCAAGACAAAGTTATGGCAAAACAAGAAGGTCCTCAAAGGTACTGGTATCACAGTCTCAGAATTCCTGACCAAGCCACGCCATGATGCCTTTATGTCGGCTCGGACAAAATTTGGAATACATAAGTGCTGGACTAGGGATGGGACTGTTTATGTATTGGATTCCGCTGGGGAGCGTCATAAGGTGTCTAGTGTAGCAGACGTGGATGCAATCCCTGGAAGTGACCCCGCCTGTACGGATTCCTCCTCTACTGGCGAAACAGTCCCAAAGCAAAGACCCAAACGAGTGCTTCGCAATAAGTAAATCTTCCCCTTTCTTTATCTTATTGTTGTTATAAACGTTACTTAGAATTAATTTAATTTTTAGTTATTGTTAGATCTCATCTTGCCTATATTCATCTTTTTTATGTGTTTGAGTTTGTTTCCTGTTCTTTTAGTCCCTTTAACGTTAATGAAGTGTATTGTTAGGGTGAACTTTGTACCCTGATAGGAACATGTAGTCTTTAGTATATAGCTATGTATTATTTTTTAAACATCTACAGTACTATATTAATTTATTTTTGTTCTTTTTATTGCACATCTTTTTATCTACGTATAAATCGTTTACCATTGTTATGTGAAGATACGTCAACTTGTCATTCTGAATTTTGCACGACTTTGACATATGACATTATTTAGGAGTTGCCAGGATAACAAACTCAATTTCGCCATATTTACTTTGCTAGATGCATCACTCTATTCGAAACTTTTTTTTTTTCTTAATTATTATAATTGTTATGACTGTACGTTTAAGTGAATTCTAAAAGATTATTTTACGAAATTTAACTGTTTAGCTGGCCTATTGGTGCTTTGTTTAATGTTATTTTGTAATTCTAATCAAATTTTAATAGTTTTTTAAGAATTTTGTATACTAATTAAGGTAATTTTATATTATGTCTCAACGTAGTTTAAGTTCTTCCAATCCCCAATTCGACAGCTTTTCTGATCTCAGTTTTGACGAAAGTCTTTCTAATTTCACCAATCCATCTCTTGATGTTACTCTCGCCCAGCAGTTTCCAAATAATTCTAAAAGCTTTAATGTGGTCCATCTCAATGCCCAAAGTATTCCTGCACATTATAATGATCTCCTAACCTCCTTTATATCCCCTAATGTTCATGCTATCCTAATATCCGAATCGTGGTTTAAACCTAGTCTTGCTTCTTCATCTTACTCTCTTCCAAGCTTTCACCTACTCCGCAACGACAGACAGGGTCGTGTCGGTGGTGGTGTGGCTGTTTATCTTCGCTCAAATATTCCTTACTCTGTTATTAAGTCTTCTTCCAGCCCAGACTCCCATAATAGCGGTGAATATTTACTTCTTAAGGTGACATTATGTCACACGAAAATTTTGCTTGGGGTGTTTTATAGTCCTTCCCTCTCTGTTAACTACTTTCCTACACTTGACAATCTCCTAGAACAATATATACCCCTCTATGAACATTTCATTATGATGGGTGATTTCAATACCTGTCTCATAAAAGATGATTATCGCTCTAAGAAACTCACAAATCTTACGGAATCCTATAATCTTGAAATACTTCCACTCTCCGCCACGCATCACTATCCCCACTCTTCTCCCTCCTTAATAGATCTTATCCTAGTCTCTAAATCGAATCTAGTCACTAATCATGGTCAATGTTCCGCTGACGCTTTTTCTTACCACGATCTCATTTTCCTCTCCTATAATTTACGCCCTCCTAAAAGCAAACCTAAAATAATTTTGCAACGTAACTTTCAGAGTATTGATTCTGTGCGTCTTTCGGAAGACGCGCAGAACATTAACTGGGATGCCGTGTTGAGTGCCACCGACATCAATGATAAAGTCAATATTTTTAATTCTTTGTTAACTCAACTCTACGACAACCACGCGCCCGTTAAATCCTTTAGGGTTAAACATTTCCCGGCTCCATGGCTGACTGATGATTTAAAGGCATTACAGAAGTTGCGGGATCGTGCTAAGTGTCGATACAAGGGGAACAACTCGGATTTTAACCGTGATAGATATGTCAAGCTGAGAAATCGCTGCAATACATTGTGTAGAGATGCACAACGCCGGCACATTTTTTCCTCTGTTGAGAACGGCGACACAGTTAAAATTTGGAAGTTTCTGCGAACATTAGGAATTGGGACACAAAAACAAACCGTCTCGGATAATTTAAATCTTAATCTTTTAAATGATCATTTCGCTGATCCCTCTTATACAATTAATAGTACGGCTAAGTCAAGTACTCTACATTTTCTTTCATCAGTTCCAATTCCTACATCATCACCGTTCGACTTCTCTCCTTTCACTGATTGTGACGTTAAGAAGAGCATTATTTCCAACACGTCGAAGGCTGTCGGCAGTGACAGCATTAGTCGTAATATGATTCTCCCTATTATTGATATCCTCGTTCCCATAATTAGTCACATTTTCAATTTTTGCATATATTCTTGTACCTTTCCTGAAACCTGGAAGGAAGCAAATATCATTCCTATTCCTAAGAAATCCCATCCTCAATCCTTTTCTGACTATAGACCAATTTCAATCTTGCCTTTCCTGTCCAAAATCCTGGAACGCTTAGTTCATAATCAGCTATGTGTCTATCTTAACAAGTCTACGTTCCTTAATCCCTTCCAATCTGGTTTCCGACCTGGTCATAGTACGACTACTGCTCTTGTCAAAGTCACAGAAGATGTGCGGCGCAGCATGGACCGTCAGCAAGTCACCATTTTGACTCTTCTTGACTTCAGTAACGCCTTTTGCACTGTCGATTTTGATATTCTGCTGAGCCTTTTGCGTACCATTAACGTATCTCCAACAGTGATTGGCTGGTTTCAAAGCTATTTATATGGACGTCGGCAGAGGATTCATGTTGATGATCATACATCTGCTTGGCGTCTACTTACAGCTGGTGTTCCCCAGGGCGGTGTGCTTTCTCCTCTTCTGTTTTCTATCTTTATTAATTCTATCTCTAAAAAACTTTCTTCTCTTTACCATATGTACGCAGACGACCTTCAGATATACACACACTGTAGCCTTGACAATCTATCTACGGCTATCTCGACTACCAACAATGATTTACAAACTATCGTAGATTGGAGTTATAGTTATGGCTTAAAAGTCAATCCTGCTAAGTCTCAATGCATCATTGTTGGTAGTTACCATCTGATGAATCGGGTTGATTTACGTAACATTCCACCTGTTGTAATAGATACAACCATAATCCCTTACAGTAAGTCTGTCAAGAGTCTGGGGATCTTTATTGATCAAAATCTATCCTGGCGCCACCAGCTCAAAGATCTCAGTAAGAAAATTTATGCGGCCTCGCATTCCTTAAAACGTCTTCAAAATTTTCTCCCTATACCCACTAAAATCCTACTCTCTCATTCTCTACTCCTTTCTATCCTTGACTACGCCGATGTCTCTTACATTGATGTAACAGAAGAGCATCTGAATAAACTTGAGCGACTACAGAATGCGTGTATCCGTTTTATCTTTGGGTTACGTAAATATGATCACGTATCCGAATATCGGCGAAAACTTAACTGGCTTCCGATCCGCTCGCGTCGGAACCTTCATGTCCTTGTTCTCCTTTATCGTATCCTTTTCGACCCTAAGTCCCCGGCCTATTTAAAAGAAAACTTTCTTCCTTTAAGCTCACATAATTTGAATCTTCGCTCGATTCATAATCTTTTATTATTTATTCCTGCGCATAAGACTTCCTTCTTTAACAACTCCTTCACTATTAAAGCCATTAATCTCTGGAACTCTCTTCCATTAGAAATCAGAAAAGCTCAATCTCTCCGTACTTTTAAAGTCTCAGTTACCAAATTTTATCTTTCCAGCTGTTAATTGCCTTTCTTTTTCATGATCCTTTCTAGCACCACCTACCTATAGTCCTTTTATTTTATTTTTTGTTTTTCCCTTCAGGTTGCCTGGAAGAGATCGCTGCTTAGCGATAAGGCCGCCTTTTAGTTATAACCTAGTGCATAAGAATTTATTGTTGTAAACCATTTCTGTGGTGTGTGTAATTAATAAAGGTAATAAATAAATAAATAAATAAATAATATTGCCCAAGCAACAGCAATATCATCTAAAATAAAGAACGAGCGAAGATACATAGTAGTCAAATTGTTATTGTTCGTTAATAATTTATTTATACGTAATTTAAGAATCGATAAATTGAAAAAATTTTCGATTAGGGCAGGACAGAGAGCAACAGCACGGTACGCTGACGATGCCGGTTCAAGTCTGCCTTCATGTGCAAAATGTAAAAAATAATAAAGTTTTCAAATTTATTTATACGTATCAAAATTCGCTGGTAGTTTTAAAAATGCAAATCGTGCAATTTACTTTATTTATCTGAGAATCTGTTAAAATAAATACTACTCGACTAGAATGTCTAATAGTAACTACTGTGCGTTATAATTATAACAACGATTGGTAGATTCCTTGTTTATTGTATTTTAATTTGTTTTTGAAAGAATTTTCTCCGACAAATGAAAATGCTTTTGCAATCTCAGCCGTGCAACTCGGGAAATATTATCTTTCAATTACCACTGTCTTATTTATTCAGCTGCGTAATAGAAGGAGATAAGGTTTCCTACACACGCGTAGAATACCTAAAATAAACGAATTCTTTTCATCTCATCTCACTAAAAATTTAAAATATTACTCCATCTTTTCTACATTTTGTTTCCTTAAACACTATACATTAAATTTGCGACTAAATGTATATTAATAATGCATGTCTAAGCTGAAATTGATTCTTTATTAGAATAAAAAAAAATATAAAACAATTATATAGTGTTAATGGATTTTGTTACTTTGGATGTAAAAAATGCAGTAAAAAGGGTAAATAATGCCTTTTTAACTACATTTTAGTGAGAAAATATGTCAATACAAAGAGCAGGTAGATATTGCAGGTTTAACCTTATGTTTAATGGCCGATATCCGTGAAACAAAAGCCATTTGCTAATTAATTAAACGCTTCCTAATATATTATACGATTCTAATATATTGACGTGATGGCAAGAATTTAAATGTCTGTCCGTCGGTAACATTTGATGCAAATTGAAAGACTTCGTACCCTACAAAATTTATTTGTTAATCAGCTATAAGAATTCGACAACGTCTGCGAAGTCTCAGCCTATAGGCAATGGGTTGAGTTTAAAATCGCAAGCGTGTGAATAAATTGACGGCCACAACAAACGAATGATTCACTACCGCCTATGCCAAAGGGCAAAAAAGCTCTAACGATTATGAATATAAACTATAATAGTAGTAACACGTCAGTTCATAAGACAGAGCTGACTAGATAACACTGGTAACCGGTGTGTCTCTGTGGACATTGTTGAAAGCAGATAAATAAAACTAAACTAAGACCGCGAAATAATTATTGATTAATATTCGAAATAAACAGTGAGACAACAATTCCTAAGCCTTACGAAAACCTTGGAAAAACTCTTTGAAAAGCAGATCAAAATCATTATTTTTGTTGCGGTAATATATTTTTTTATTAATAACGATTTTACTTAACTTCAATTTTATACATTTATTACGGGGGAATTCATAAAAAGATAGCTTTTAATGCCTTCATGTTATCATTTTTATCCGCAATATTTTGTATGTAGAAGAAAATTTCGTTAACGATGAAATGACCAAACCTACTATTCTCATCGCGGGCTTTTAATTATAGAAATGAAGCAGCTACCTCTACCCGTACTCATGTTACTACTTGTACGGAGTATGAAGGCCCTCGTGGAAAGGATTCCAGATCTAAGTATAGGGGTACCCGCTGGCTATCTACCGTATTGTAAGTACCATTTTTTTTTTAAATATAGATGGTAGCTGTGATTATCAGTCTATTTTACACTGATGAGATAATGTAACATTGACGGTAGTTACTAATCCAAAAACACATTTCTCAACATGTCTAAAAATTCGAAAAGTCGAGAACTATAAGTGAGGAATTCACTTAATGTAAGATATTCTTTTGAAGTGAACAAATATAATTGGCGTACTTTCAGGCCCGGGAGTCGAAAAGAATTCGACATTGTCCAAAGAGACGTTGCAACTGCTTCAAGTGACCATACATTGGAACACAGAAGGACGCGAATATCATAAGAACTTTCCCATCGAAACGGTACTTCACAACATTCTAAGCGATAGGCACATTGGTAAGTTTAATAAAAAATCATCGTCCTTAAGTCTTTCCACTTCTTTGAAATGTCTAAAAAATAGTTCTCTTACTTTACATTCTATTTTTCTTCTTACATTTTTTAGAATAAGAGTCTAATCCAAGTATCTGTTATAAATGATTGATTTGCAGATCTCAAAAGTAGGAAAACAATACTTTATTGCGTGCCTTACTACGAGGGAGCGTTTGCAGTGTCTACGCATGACTTGGGCAATCTCTACTATAAAATGGGCTACAACGTCTTAATTCTGGATACATTTGCTACATTAACTCGGCACTATCCCAAGTGAGTATCACACGTTCACCGTTAAAGGTAGTCTAAGGCTTTGTTCAACGCCATCCCCGTGCTCAAACGATTGTCTGCAGTATACTGCATAATATAAACATTCATTAAGTTTCGGGACAAATAATGGTATGGTAGTATCGATGATTGTTAATTATATAAATATTCTTTTACAATACGCATATCTGTGAATATTATCATAAGCCTAAGTCAACATATAATACCCAATTAGCAATAAACAGTTTTTAAAAGACTAAAGAATGGAAATAAAACCTCTTCAACATTATTATGAAAATAGAAGTATCTATTTATTGAACAATTCTTCTATTCCCTTCTAGGGCAGTGCGTTTATCCAAAGCGGTCGGTCTGGAAGCCGGAAAACTTCTCGTGAAGTTAATGGAACACGGTCTGGACCCGGACAACCTCGAACTCATCGGAATGAGCATTGGAGCTCAAGTGATTAGCTACGCAGCGAAACACATGAAGGCCGTGACGGGAAAAAGACCCCACAAGATCACCGGCTTGGACCCGTCGGGGCCCTGCTACAGAAACCAGCCCCACGAAGATGTCTTTTTCATAAACGATGCCGAAAGAGTCGTCGCATACCATACTAATATTGACGGTCTGGGCACAGCGCGGAGGCTCGGACACGTGGACTTCTACTTGAACGGCGGGGAGTTTCAGCCAGGGGATCCGGGGACCTTCGTCTGCCTGGACTTGTGCAGCCACAGCAAAAGTCTCGAATTTTACCTCGCAATGCTCAGATACCCGAAACTGTTCATCGGAGTCCAGTGCGATTCGGTGCAGGACGCCAGATTTGCGAAGTGCTTCGGCAATCCGGTGCAAAATTACGGCGGTGTGTTCACGGATTTCAGTAAACCGGGAATATACTATTTGCCGACGAATCTCGAATATCCTTATTATGGGGGTGAAGAAGGGCTGGCGGCGGTCAATGAACCCTTCGAAAAGTATATGAGAGACGACAACTCAGAAGACGTCTTCGAAGCGTAGGACATAAACAGCCCCATATCTGTTTATCCATTTTCATAAAAAAATGATTTAATTCGATATAGCATTCACCTGAGTAAATCGTTTATTATTTATTAAACTTTATTATATTATTATTTATAAGTGTTATGTTTCGTCTTTGATGTACATTGTTATTGTAAGCGAAGTGACACTGGACCATCTAAAAGTCATAGCCAGCCGGCACAGGTATCCTCTTCAGTCAGTACTTACATTCAACATCCACGATAATCCTTTTGGAGACAGATGGCGGCACCGCATTGGTGGCGATGCAGAGGTAGGCGCCCATTTCGGTGCGGCTGATGCGTTGCAGGGACAGCGTGTCGCCCTCGTACACCGTCACTGTCGAAAATATTCTCATACACTAAGAGAAGGAATGAACTACATCGTTTGCTATAAGTGCTGTATGCCTATTGCTCTGTATCACATTTGTCTCTCAGCGCGAATGAATTCTAGATTTTGATACTACATTCTCTCGTTAAGTAATGCGTTGAATGTAGTAATTATCATTAATGTAATCATAATTTGGGGCGCGCACCGACAACAGTATCATTAGGACGATTGCGGCGCGGCCAATTAGCGTCCAAATAAACGTGTGACATCATAATTAGTACCGATTTTTCCCAAGCGCATCTCTGCTATAAAACACGGCATAGAAAAATTCGACTCCTACATAGAGTATCTAACTTATTCTAAGTACAAAGAGAGTAACACAAATAGAACACCCACAATTGGAACACAAATGTACTCGGTACCCCAGGTAGTAGTAGTAGAATCTAGTTTCCGTTTTGCTTCTAGGACAACGTAACTAAAAAATAACTGAAGTATCGGCCTTTCGACTTCCCCCATTTATATTATTGCAGCGCTCGGCACTAAAACCAGCGAGCGCAAATATATTTTTCGACATTGTTTATATAATACTATGTATTATTCATATTTCGTTGGATTTTATTATGATAATGTCGTCACCGTCTTCAAACGAATAAATATATAAACGTCGAATAAATAAGTCAAACGCGGGAAGATTATTTCAAGAATTGTATTTCTCGTTTCGTACAGTTATCTTCGTTTAGTTGTAAAAAAACGATTCGAAACAGTAAAAGTCGTTACTACGTCATCACCGGAGTGAGATAAATTAATTTACTAAATTAACGTTTGTACTTGTAACATAAATATTTCAACGCCAGGTCTTAATATAATTTTGATGAGCTCGTTCGCTTCACGGTAACACTGTGGCTAACTTAGTCGCAGGTTCGATCCCCAGTGATTCCAACATGTTATGATTAATTTATATTTTTTCTGAAACCTGTTGGAATTCGTGTGGTAATGACGATATCCAATGGGTGGTAGGAATATCTCAACTCTGTCCGGGTTAAAAAGCACTGTCAACGGATGAAAAGCCACGACAATTAGGTGCGTAGTCTGTGGATTCCCTAATATTGAAAGCCGAAATAGGCCGAAAGCGTGTCTTGTCAATGTTGTTGATGTTGTGTGGCCGGGACATTAACCTTCCATCGAGTGAACCCGACTGTACGAGATTACAAACAGATGGATAGCCCTTAATCATTAACCGTAATTAAAACGCGGGCTTTGGATTTTTCCAACACAAAGGCTTAGCGCGGAAATGAGGATTAGCAATTAAAGTCCCTCCGTAAACAAACGTGCGTGTGACGTTAAGGGCTCACCGCACAGGTCACAATTAGAACCACTCGTTTCGAATGGACATATCGCCGCGGTGTAACGTCGCGTATACGGAACCCTTCACGTCTTTCTGATTAATTTAATCGTCGAAGGTCACGAGGCTAGATTCCGTTTTAACAGACTCGTTCGTTTGCGGTGGCAGCATTGTGTTAACGCAATATAGAGCAATTTTTAACAAATAAATTGTAAGTAAATCTTGGCAATAATACAGAACATCGGTCTGAATTATTTGTTATAGTTATTATGCATAAACCGATTCGCGGTAAGACCATTACCCAATATCAAACGAAATTTTTTGATTAACTTGGGATAAAATGTACCTTTCTTTCTCCTGTCAACGGATATCGGTTGGCCGTCTTCTCGTCTCCACATGATCTTAGGAGTGGGAAACCCGTCAGCCTTGCACACCAGGCTGATGTTCTGGTTCTCCCGCACTGCTACCGCAGACTGCGTGCTCTCTTCGTCCAGAATGTTCGGAGGAACTGTTTAAGAGGTTCGATTATTTAGTTAATATCAACAAAATCTTGTAAGTTTTTCATGTTAAAGCTATACGATTATTTTGGTTAAAACCCTACTTTAAAGTTTTGCACGTCATCCTTTTATCCACAATTTGTGTTATAAAAATTTCATAGCTAGAACAGAAATCGCGATTCATTTAATTGCTATTTTATCCAGACTAAAGCATCGAGCGGGCTAAAAATATATTATCTGCTACGTTTTCGATTAAGCGAACAAACGGTCCGATATAATTATTCGTAATTTTTTGTTTTTTTTTATCAGGTATGTGCTCTTTATTTGATTTCAAAGAAAAATATTTTTTCCAGAAACACTATCGTTTCGTTACGGCCTTAGTTCACGTCACAATTTCTGAAATGTGACGTAAAAGAACACATGGAGATACTATCTATAGTTTACGCGAGTAGTACACATTTAAATAAAACACTAACGGTTTAAAACGCGATATATTAGCTAAACTTATTTGAAAATGATTTTTAACTTCGGCCCGACGTTTCGGATGCTTTGCAGCAGCCGTGGTCACGGGGAGACTGTCTCCCCGTGACCACGGCGGTGTAAGTTTAACTAATATATCGCGTTTTAAACCGTTAAAGTGTTTTATTTAAAAACACACGGAGATGTTATGGATTAAGCCCGATCTAGTTGCTTCGAAAATTAATAATGGCCACCATTTTAATACAAACTAAAGTACGTATATATTTTGCAATCGATTATTATAAAATATACGTAAGAAAGATGCATTTTTGTACCTGAAGCTATAATTAAAAAGAGATTGTTACGTTCTCATTAATTAGTGCCCTGTATTTAGTATAGCTTAAAGCTAAAAACCCGCAAAGCCCGCCAAATATTCGGGACGTGCATGCGAATTTTAAATTTGAAACTTCAACTTCCCTGTGAGAAGTTTTTGGTCTCTTTTACGGTTGCAAGTAGAATTTACGCTCGCGTTAGAAGGGTTTGCATCAACAGTAACTAACCAACTTTGCACCGAGTCAACAAAGTTATGTTGTTGTAACTACTGGTTTTAGGTAGAAGCACTCTCTGTGTATTCACAATAATAACTAAAATTTTATTTATTTACGCTAGAATTCATTTTTTTTGTCAAAAGTCAAGGAAAAACAGCATTAAACAGTTCTGGCCTGCAGGTAGCGCGCACGTAAGAGGGCTCGAATTGTGGCTTCGCGGTTTACGCGCGAAGCTGTAAAAGTAACATTTGCAGAGAAATATTGGGCTTTTTAAGGAATGCTTCAGACTAGGTGTTCCGAGTGGAGTGCAATTTTTACATTTTCCCTCACGAATGGCTTTCGCAACATGTGAATAGCGATGCGGTGAGGCTAATATAATTCCGTCGGTTACTCCGAAGAATTTACACGCTTGTTAGTTTATACCTTAGTATTTATATAGGCTACCGAGGGGAGTGAGTACGGAAACAGATGTATACAAAAACATCATACATGTTATTGACTGCCTCGTCACTCTTTTCACTACAAAAAAACCCAGTCAAATGAGCCAAAAAAAAATCTAATTTTATTTGCAACTTCTCATACCTTTAAACCATAATGGTCGACATTTCTACAAGACCAATTCCTATTAAAACTAATTCCAGGGTTAAGTCTAACAATTGTTGTACACTCACCGACGACTTGTAGATATCCTACTTGGCTGATCATCGGGTTCGTGTTAACTTGGCACATGTAGTACCCTCGGTCTTCCTGTTGAACTTGGCTAACGTGCAACAGCCACGTCATAGCGTTGTCGTGCGACACGCTGAAGCGAGCCAAGCGGGTGATGACGTGCCGATGGATCGTTAGGATCATTTGGCGATCTATGTGAATCCATGCTACCTGTGAATAAAACCCTTTTTTTAAATTCAGGACGACATAGTGAAACAAAGAGATCGCCTGTGTGTTAGTTTATCTATTAGGATCTTTAGCGTATTTTCCATCCACATGAAACGAACTTAGGAAAAACTTTTTATATCCGCCTCAAAAGCGTCCCCCCAATTATGTTTGTCAATAGTATAAGAAATGTGCAAGCCTCTGTCGACCCTCGTCAGATCTAATCCAAAGTAGAACTAAGCTGAGCCAAATCCATTGTTTATCTGCGAGTGTCGTTAAATTCGGCGAGACCGCAGACGATGGCGCAGTGCGCACTGCGGGGCGCGGCTAGTCAATACGTTGCATATTTAATGAGCTCTCAACTATTCTGTCTTTGCGATACACATTTGTCGGGTCAATGTTTCGCATCGAGAGAATTTTGGCTCTATTTTACATTCTAAATAACGTATTTTTTAATAACTTCCTGACTTTCCTAAACTACTTTTTCATTAGCTTTCTTTGAGCATTAAAGTAATTTAAAGAAGACAAATATTATATAAATTGGGATCTTAAGTACGTTAGTGCGCGTGTATCGAACTACATTCCATAATATTTTCAACGGATTTTAGTAAATGCAACATAGATGAAATAATAGGTAGACTTTGGTAACTAGAAATTTTATCGTAGCCCCGACAAATAACTTAGAATATTAACTACTGTGAAGAAGTCGGGAAGAGTTAGGGTACTGGGACTGGCTGGGACTCTCATAAAACGGACGAAACTTAATAGTTTAACTTCTCAGTTCAAATGTACTGCAATAAAAAACAAGAGGAGTAGTAAACTTCCTTATGTGTTTTCTTTTCAAAAGCAAATATATATCGTTTATGAATATATGTGCTGTGAGCTGTTAATCGAAGAACCAGGTTCCTGGTCGTAGAAAGAGTAATACCCACATAGGTAAAGGAAATTTATTACGGGCTACTAAAAGGTGAATGCAGATAATATACGACCACTAAAGTTGGATAAATGTTTCGGGAAAGGCGTTCAAACTAACAGAAGCGTGTGTTATTCCCCTTTTCTTGTTACTAAAATGCATTATTGATGGACGAAAATTAAATAAGCCAATCCGGCCGGTCGCTCCGTCATATTCAGTACGAGTGGAGGACATCAATTGAGCAGGGTGGAGATGTCCAAGATATAAATGGGGGTGCTTAGCGACTCACTATTCGATGGCCAGGTGATGTTAATAGCTGTATAATCGACGACGACGCCATTAATACTGCGCCCACTTCCGGCTCGTAATTCATCTGACGTACTTCCGCTCCGTAATAAACCCACTATGTTAATGTTATGACCTCTTTCGATTCCTTGTAGCCCGGTGGCTGTTCATTGGGATTAACTTACGCTTCATTTAGCTTGACGTTTTTTAGTTTGGCGTCAAAAATAAAGGTAGAGTTTTAACATATTTTTATCATTTTAGCGTTGAAAATATTCGTACTTTTTTGCGAATTCGAATCTAAAGTTGTAAAAAACACATACATACGGATTTAAGGGTTAACACCGTTAGGTGTTTCCATGGTTGGTGTATGTGGTGGCTTAATATTTCTTACCTTTCGTACGGCCGAAGAGAAGTTTAGAGCGCGTAGACCCCGGTGCGCAAAACTTGTCATCCCTAACGTTAGTTTTAAAGTTCGTAGAGTATTCGATTTGTAAACTTTACTCACTTCACTTTATGCAGTTCAATGTGAAAAACAATTAATATCCATTGTTTACAGTCCTCGGGCCATAATTAATGTTTCTCTGACGTAATTACTATGTAAAGTGTTTTGAGCTGTGGAAAGGCACACGATTTACGAGCAGTTTGCAAGTAATCGCCATCTTGTAGACGCCATCAAACTAAAATGTTTTATTTATTTATTTATTACATTGCTCTTTTACAAGCTCGTATAATGTTATACGTAGCTGTTACACGCAGCGCTCTTGTGTATTTCTGTCTTTCCTTAGATAAACGCCATCTGGGTGTTGTTTTAAATGTCCGTAAATTGTTGTTATATTGCTAATCGAATACACTTAACGGTATAAAACGCAAAATATATTAGGTAACTCATTTACAATATGGTTCAATAGTCTGGATGCTTTGCAGCACCCTCGGTCACGGTGGGAGGGAAGGGAAATGACAAGGGAAAATTTAAAAATAATTTTTAACTGTTAAAAGTATTACATTAAATTTTATTATTTTTCTCTTAGTTCCCTTGTACATGTTCAATAGTTAACCTTTTGAAAGACTGAGTTCAATGGTTAACATAACGTTTATCCTATTAGACACAGTATATGGAGAAATATATACAATTCACTGAGTTAATTTTTATTAACCAAATAAAAATTACACATGATTTAACAAGAGAAAACATAAAAAGTTTGGCCTCATTCAGCAACAGGTGCATTGACGCACAACGAAACGCGAGAGCGGAATTAAAATAATAAAGAGAGAAAATAAATATTTTATATTTAACAGCTTAATAGCATTGAAAAATGTAGCTGAAAGTGGCTTCGACGTCGCGCACAGAGCTCGCTCGCCTATAATCACGTTACGCTTGAAATATATGCAAAATGACGCTAAATTTATTATGAAAACACTATCTTTCTGTATTAGTATAGTATAAAATATTGCCCGGTAAAAAAGTATACCTCCTCTTTGTGAACTTTTCATATAAAACACTCTTAGCGGTTTAAGTACCAAAATATGTAAGTTAAGTTATTGTTAATTTAATTCAACTATCAGACATTTTCGATGTATTGCAGCCGGGATTACGGATTATACACGAAATGCTTAAAACTTCGAATAGACAAGAGAATCTTTTTTATGTATCACTAATTGATTGAACCGATGTTCAACGGACATACCACGGACTAATTTTCTAATTGAACTGTTACAGGGTCTAATTAGTCGAACGGAGTTATAGTTTTCACGTTAGTCGAGTAGAAAATAAACCACTTGTTTTTAATCTATTTAAAGGATATAATCGACTCAGCTGTTTAATATCTTCGTTATTTGTTAGCTGTCACAAAACAACGGTTGAGTTGAATATTACGCACCTGGAAATGAACGCGGGCAATTTTTCGGGCGGGTTTAAACATGTAACGCGAATAAGCCGCTAAGCCCCGCCACATACTTAACAAGAAGCCTGTTATCTCGCGAATTACCGCGAGTTCGCGAACTCGCTAATGTTCCTCTGTTATGCCCGGAGTTAGATCGCGACTTATTGTGGCCACACGTACTCGCTCCAACTTTCCCTACAGAAATTCATTTCAAACTTTACGCTCTGTTTTTATTGCTGCTTATTTCACAACTGTATTTGTTTTTTTCAAAAAAAAACCGCATGTGTATTGCGTATAATACGAGTAAATAATTCCCAACCGTAACATCTAATAAAATTAATTATTATAAATTCTAAGATATCGTGCATCATTCACAAAGCTCTGTGTTGCGCTGCAGTACGTTGCCGGGCTGATTGTAAATTCTAACTCGTCTAAACAGCCGTGTCAAACCGAAGCCACAATGCGTAACGAACGCTGCACAATTACTCACAAACACCGCTACCGTATTCACGCGACTTGTCACGTTTGTTTAAATGATTAAAAAGGTTTTTGAACGTGTAAACAAACGTGACGAGTCGTTATGTTTTGTAAGGTAAAGGTTGAAGTAAAGCATGCCTTAAGTAGATATGATTTTCAGCGTCGAACGTGGGAAAGTCAATCGCGCGCACCTTCGGTACTACTTAAAGGATAAGGCTTCGTTTAGTGGAATTGCTCACGTAACATTCGAAGGCAATTTCTAAAGGGAGCGAATAAAAATGCGATCGGACCGTTACGGGCACTTGGCTCGATGCATACCCTAATCAAATATAACTTACCTGAGCTCAATCGGTTCAAAGAGAAAATGCCACTTCGCCTCTTAGCCCAATTCTGATAAATAAAATAACGAGTAGTGTTCTTTGGTAAAACTCATTCGGTGGAAGCAATCGACAGAGAACTCTTAAATTAATTGTTGTTATAAAAGACCGTTTGTTAGACATTGCATGTAATATTCTATCTGAGTCTTCCTTAATCAATAACTAAGGATGAACAGCACTTAAAAAGCAGGACTTTGTTTCACATAACGATCAAAGTGAAAGCCTCGGGCCGTATTTGTAATTAAAGTGAAGAGTTAATATAAAAACGTAATTAAGCGAGTACGAGCCCCAAAAGACGCATATCATCGTGAAAATCCGCCGAAAATAAAGGGAACAACCCCTTCGATTACTTTAAAATTCAAAGTGGCTCGAGTATTTACGAGACGCCCGTGTCTAGATAATAGGACTCATAAAATAAAACAAATTATTAGTGCCGCGGTAAATTCATGAATTAGTTAATTCCAGACTGCAATATTCGTTCGGGGTCTCTTTCAACTTTGTCGGGAATAAGATAACGATCTAGGCGTGGTAGTTTCATTACAGTATATTTTAAAGTATACCTAATTTCTTTTTACTATTATATATTTGATGGTGAAAATACTAAGGCTTTTGCGGCCTAATTGCCAAGGTTTTCCATCTCTTCAACTGAGTGACGTGATTCGTTGACTTAGTACAAAATGACTGCGAATGTACCTTAGTAATATATATATTTGATGAAAGATCGAAAACCTAAGTAGCTCAGTATTTATTTAGTTTAATAGCACCTATGTTTTATACGCTAGGAAGACGATTTAAAAAACTACTGGTATAGACTTGTGCTGCATATCACAAGACCGAGAGAAATGGGCATCTTTGGAGGAGGCCTATACCAAAACCGGGGTTCTTATAAGTTTTTGAACATTACATATACATACACTGAAATTACTAACATATTCTAGGCTTAGGTACTAACAAAATCTGTTCAATGTTATATATCAAGAAATAATGTAAAAAGCGAGAAATAAAAGGATATTATTAAGTTTCAGCATTATTTGTTTATTTGCGCATGTCAAAAGTGCAAAGCCGTGTATCTAATCAACATTATTGGTCCTCAAACATTTGAACGTTATTGTTTTGATCGGAATGCACTTATCTGTAAATAAAATCGATCAGTAAACGGATACAAAACGAACGTCGACTGTATTATAAGTTGCGAAAATTAGTTTATAATATTACATATTATTATTGCCAGACGTGTCGTTGGCTATTGCGAATAAAATTCTTTTAATATACCACGGAACGAAACTCGAATATCACATATTAGAAAAGCCAATTATTATTACTGAAACGGTAACAGCAGCTGTAACAATGTTTGTCATTTTCGGTTTACACAGCTCACACAAACGGGTACGTGGAAATGTGTGTAGTCTCCGGCGCTAGACCCCGCCTCCCGGTTTAATTAGTGCAGGGGTGAAATTTGACACCCTGTTTATTCACTCCGACAACTTATCACTCCGCGCTGCTTTGCGGTCCTGGCAGTTTCGTTCTAATCAATTACAACTCAAAAATAACGAGGGATGTGAGCCGCGTAGCGCTACGTAGAGGTGCGCGTAGCGATCGTAGCTATATCGTAGAAACGTCTACACAAAACAAATATTAATCGATTATTATCAAGTTTTGATCGGATACCCTTAAATTATTTATTTTATCATCAAAATATATCTTAAACTTAATATGTGCCTCAAAAATAATTGAAAATGAACTATTTTACATTAGAGTAAAAATTAACAAAACTTTGTATATATAAAATAGAAATTTATTGGTGTGACAGATTAGTGGACTTACATCTTAAGAATGGTTGGTGAAATTTTTATGATGTTTAAAGATAGTTTAAGGTATATGAAATCAAGTACAATACATTTAATTAAGCCTTATTATCAAGAACAATTAACGAAGAATACGCGTCAATTTGACATCTTTTGTTTCGAATCCAACCTGAATATTTATACAATGAATTATTCAGCTATTAATTCTATTCCTCTTGACGTTCGTATTAAAGTATTTAGGCTACGGAAATTGATGTTTTATTTATAAGACGAGGTTTGAAAATAAATTGTAAAATTACTTACGTAACATGTTAAAATTGGACGCAACTATTTTTAAACGTTCGATGATAACATTTATTTATATAACACGTTACTTAAAAGTAGATCGATGAATCTGCACTTTAGGGACGAGTAATAAAAGTTTATTAAATACTGTCTATAGTTTACGCGAGTAGTACACATATAAATAAAACATTTTAACGGTTTAAAACGCGATATATTAGTTAACTAATATATCGCGTTTTAAACCGTTAAATTGTTTTATTTAAATAAAAGTTTATACTTTATTTTTGGTTATTACCTAGTACTCGTAATATATTTTGTGTTTATATTTCATTTAAATAACTTATAATTTAATGGATGGATAAATTCGTATTTTAGCTTGCCTTATATAATGTGTTATTTGATATCCTACCGAGAAAATTCAAAATAAAATTCCTAGATTAATATAAAGGAGGCAAATAGCGTAATGTTTTTCGGGAGCAAACACATCAAACGGGCCCATAAAACGGGTTCAAGCGGAGTTATAATCGGGATAAGCGGAAATCTGTAATTATTATCTAAACGACAGCGTCGGCCGCTCATGAATAATTTAATTGGCTGCATTCGAAACGCCAACGAATAGTTAGCGATTTTCATTGTAAATTAGTGCAGGTTTTACACGAATCGCTGTGCAAAGTGAAAAAGCGGTGTTATTACTATAATGTGCTTATCTGACACACGAAGAATATTAGGATCGAATATTTGTTTTGACATACCACTTGATGAATACACTACTGCTGCACGATTTAATTATACAAATGTTGAATTGATAAAGAAACTTTTACCGTCTTTTACCATGTATATTATTAGATATATTTGTTAGACATCTGAAATTGACATCATGTGACATTAAAAATGCATTTGCAATTAAAATGCAACGCACCCAAGGTCTAAAAGTGATGGCCTGTACTCAATTTACAAACATTACAATACCTATAAAATGCGAAAATCGCCAAACTAGAGTCAGATTAAAAAGATTGTTGCACCTAGATATTGAAGGCGAAGCGAAACCGCGGGCAAATACTCCGGGGAAATCTACTCGCAAAGTTGTGTATTCACAAGGCAGTAATCATTTTTTACACAATAAAACTCAACTTCCAAGTATTGTACATTAAACTAGTTAATGCCCAGAGCTCATACAAAATAATGCTGTTGTTGGATTCTTTTAGTAGTAACACTTTAGTAATTGCAACAATATTTACGACGTTAGACAATCAAAATAGGTAAGATTAAATGTCTGAATAAATATCGTAGAACGTTATGTCATGTTCTTGTAGAACTAGAATAGATTAAAGGAGTTACTGTATTACAATTACCTGAACTTATTTCTCCTTTCACTGTTTAGCCATTCGTAAGTCTGATCTGCAATGAAGGCGTCACAGGTTCGGTTCCGCTCTATATCTTTGATAACGGGTTGTCGAACGACTCATTTTTACTTTTACGTGTCCTTTGTTAAAACTAAGGCTTTTAGAAGGCGAGGGTAGTGTCGTATAGTTTTATTTAAACGTTGGAAATAAAAGTAAAGTGCAGGTAAGTAAAGATTTCCCTAAGGACTGTCTCGTCATCTCGTATCCGGCGAACGACTCCATCTAAAATATCACTTACTGCTTACTTCGCTGTACTTACTTCGCTAGAAATCTATTTTGGGTAAAAAAATCTTCGCATTCATTGTATTGCCTTTAATATATGCTATTGTACAAAAAAAAATACTGCTATATGATTAAATGTTTGGTCGGACTGAAGCTCAGTCAGGCCAAACATTTAACTCTGGGTTTGAATTCTGGGGGAAAGCTAATATGTTTTTTTTTTTATTAAACTTGTAGACGTATTAAATTTTTGATATAATTTGATTTGATTTTGTAAAAATCTCGTTAAGATAGACTTCATAGGAGGTTCGGAGCATGCAATCTAACGCTGCAAAATAAATTGTTTATTTTTACAATTTCACATTATAATAAGCGGTCGTTCTCGAAAGCAATCATACTTGTCTGGAACAGGAGCCAAGTTATTACACTTCCAAGAAATGTCTCACGAAGTATTATAACTGTTCATCTGAGCCAATTGAAGGGAACATTCAATTACCTTAATAAAGATTTAGGCCACTGACACGCCTCCATTTATTATTTAATATTTAAGTAAAATGTTCAAAAGTTGATACTTATACTGTATATTTATGAATAAATATTACATAGAAATATAATAATCGTCAGTTCTGACTTAATATTATAATGTATTAAGTAATTATACATTAAACATAAAGTTATATAATACAACTAATGTCATAGAAGCTTTAAAAATAAATAATATAACATAAAAAACACATCTCGCAAAAAAAAATTTTTTTCGATAAAAAATCGTCAGCGAATACGACGCCTAAGCGTAGACGTAGGCGTTTTTCGGCTCGACATAAGAAAGTGGTTTGAGAATATACTCAAGCATTTTTATTAAACCGTTGTGTGTGATTTGTCGTTGTTCACTTCTGGGGAAAAATAAGGCAATTATTAAAACTCTCTTGATATTAAACATACTTATGTCGCCTGACACTGTTTCATAGCAATTTTGTCTTTCGTAGTCGTTCGGTTAAAAGTTAAGTCACGCCAGGTTAACGCTCTATAAGCAGTTTAATGTCAAAGTTTAGACTGCGATAGGAAATTTTTACTCCATCTTTATAAGTTAGTACAGTTTAAAGTACCTATGCACTTTTAGTTTTCCGTGGTGCGAAAGTTTCCCTTGAAATTCCGAACAAATCCTAACACGGAAAGAATTCCTGCCTGCTATTCCCGGAAATTATTTCAATAAGAATTTAGGAAATACTATTTAAAGTACAGCACTTAAGTGTTTACTATTGTAAGACCGTAGTCCTGGGTGCCACTTTCACGTTTTATACTAGTTGACCCGTTTTGAGCGAGCGTGGGTCTTCAAAAATATTCATTAAACCGATTTCGAATAAAATAATAATAACTTTGAGGGTAGTCTTTATTTTCTTGAGTAGTTAGGTCTTTTTCGCGACAGGACGGGCGAATGACGTCGGCGCGCGATGTCAGACGCGTTTTGGTAGCGCACATTCTTATTTTTATATGTGAATGCCAATTGCGATTCGGCGGTTCCGGGCGTGTCGGAGGAGCCACCGAAGCTGTTGTTTTGTTATAGTTTCTAGGAGTCTAGTGCGTTAAAAAAAAAAAGTTTGATGAAAGATTATATAGCCGTCACTTCCATTCATATTCCTAGTATTTATATTCCTTGAAGTGCTTAGACTAGGCTTTGTTCTTCGCCGTATAATGTTGAAGGTGTGTATCGACGTCTTCACCGTTATCCATTTTTGTGTTTCACCGATAATGCAATATAAGAGAGCGATCGTATAGATATCTCTACTATGTTGCCTAATACCTTTTTCTTTTTCTACTCTTCTAGTTTTTATAACTAATAATAACTGTAGGTAATATGTAAAATGATATAAATAATATAATACAAGTATTGTAGGCATGATATACATTTAAATTATATTTCTAATTTCAATCGCCACAGTTGTACGCCACAAAATAAAACAGTGGGACGATAATCTCAAATAAGTTAGGTGTGATGTGAATAACGATGCAATTCCGAATATATCGCGGGATCAGTAAGTGCTATTTATAGGTTTCAATAAACCACTCGTTCAATGGATTTTTTCCTTATATTTATGAGATCGGGTTCGCATTTGAATTTCAATGAGACCTTATGAATATAGGTTTTATAATGCTCTGTGCGTTTCGTTTGCCGGTCAATTTACCTCGGGCTGCGTTGAGTTATGCCCGATTAGAGAAAGTTTTATATTATTTATTATAACGTAGAGACAGGTTCATATATAAATAAAATAATAATATATTCTATATCGCGAATCGTTTGACAGCTCTTTCTTTTGGATTCGCCGTAATCCAGTACGCGGCACTTACCTTATAGTTTCCGAGGTGTTCGACGACACAAGGGAGACTCGCGTCACGGCCCAGTGCGACGGTCACGTTGGGAATGGGTTCCGCGAATCGGGGGTCCTCCGTCAACACTGCGAACAATACAACATAGTATTGACATATCAACTGGACAGTATATTGACCAGGACTTTTCTTGATAAAAATATGTCGAGCGAAGTGTTACCAAATATTAAAACACGTTTGTGTTAATGTCTCCATCATGTCCACAATGTTCCACAATGCTTTGTCATGTCAATGACGAAGCGTTGTGGAATGGCCCGTTGTAACCCTCAAATACGTACGGTACAAACGTTTTTAAATAGTCCGAGATTTACTAAAATAAAATACTCAACAATCGAATCGAAAATTACTCTTGTAAACGCTGTATTTTTCATACATGTTTGTGACTAATATTGACAATGAACGAGGCTCAAACTATTGCCATTGGAGCCCGTGTGCCAAGTCGGCACGAGACTGTTTTCTTTTTTGTTTGACTTCACCGAAAATTTCTACTTCGATGTTACTTCAAAATAAATATCCGTCAATGACCGTCTGTCATCTTTTAAATGCTACTATATAGACCATACTCGACCACATACGTACAGGCGATTTCACATATTCATAATAGGCAATAAACTATCCGGTCGATTTGATGAAAGTTGACTGAAATTTGATGGAAAATGGCAGCACTGTGACACTGTAAGGTAGTCGGTTGATTTACATTAGAATAAGAACAGAATTTGCGAAACTTTTGCGTACGTATTTGCCTATTTGTCGATTTATGTTAATTACACTGGTCTGCAACGAAAAACTCCTTTAAACAAAAATATGATAAGTATGAAGTATTCAATATCCTGAATCTATATGTGTTTTTATTTTTTTGCTATGAGGTATATATTCTTTTCAAAAAATTTTTTTTTGAATAGCTTAAAATTCCATATTTTTTTACTGTTGTTCATGCGTTAGCGCAACTGCGTTTATTATTATTAATGGTTAAGCACAAAAAAACGACTCGTACTGATAGAAAGAGAGAGAACGATACCGACTGAGTCATTTTTATACGAATATTTTATTATTTATTCGTATAAAAATCACGCCACGAAGTACGCTTTAAATTTTTCTTTCTCCACTCCATATAAAGCTGGGTTTTATGAAAAATTTTGTCAAAGCCACGAATAAGAATGATGAAGGCTTTCTGTATTTAAAGACAAAATTCCCCCTAATCAGCGAAGCAAAATTAAAAGAAGGAATCTTTGTGGGTCTCCAAATACGCGAGCTCATGAAGGACACTTTTACAATAAAACTGAAAGAACCCGAAAAGAGGGCATGGACTGCTTTCGTCGAAGTGTGCTATAATTTTCTAGGAAACAGAAAAAGTGAAAACTACCAGGAGACTGTCACAGAACTTATTTCTTCGTATAAAGACCTAGGGTGTAACATGTCTTTAAAAATTCATTTTTTGGATTCTCGCTTGGATTTCTTCCCACCTAACCTTGCATTAGCATGCAAGGTTAGATGGGCATTGCATAGCAGTATCAGATGAACATGGTGAGAGGTTTCATCAAGATATTATGCACACAGAGAGACGCTACGGAAAATGGTCAGAAGGGATGATTTGTTGGTTTATTCGGCGCGAAACTCCACTTCATAATATGAAAAGAAAGAAAACCACAAAGTAAAATAATATTAATAAGTAATAAACATTTTGTAATATACGTTTTAATGTTTTTTCATGGTCTGTATCCAAAATTATGATAATAAATAAATATATGATTAAAATATAATGCTAAAAAAGCTATTTTATTTAAAAATTACATTGTAGAAAAAATATAAATGATAGAAAATTTTGATATCATTTTTCTATTTAGTACTATTGAATCAGTAATAATAATTCTTAGTTATGTAAAGAAGACAATTTTTGTTTTTTTGCAGACCAGTGTTATTTGTTATGCTTAGAATAAATTTGGATAAGCTCAAGAAAAACATTTTTTTTTACTCTTATGTTAACGCGGATCTATCCCACTACCGCGATCAAACTAGCGACGCCCAAACAAAGCGGGACTCGAACCGCGCCCCGGTAAAGTTGCGAAGTCTAAATTGATTGACACCGCATGTAATATAGAGGGGTTGTTCAAAGATATGAACGGGATTTAATTAGCAAAGTTGCGACCTAAATATTGTCTTCATTAAGGCAGAAGCCTTTGACTACATTTTATTTGAAAACTTAGTAATTTGCCTTCACGGAAAGTTCCTTCGTCAGTTTACGGTGTATTCAATTTCACTCCACATAATACTTGAAATTTAACGTTTGTTATTGGAAATACTAAGTTTCGCTAAACAATGAAAATGAATATAACAAATACAACGTAGGCGGTAGTGTTCCTATACTTATAGACTTACCCTGACAAATGACGGTGATGATCTGTATGAGGCCGATGACGAAACTCCTGAAGGGCCCTCGTGTTCCACTCATGATGCATGCTCAGCTCAGAAACGCCTTCTCCAATTCATCTCGACCTAAGAATTTAACACTTGTTTGAATGATTCTAATTTTACGATGGGAATCGATGTATTTTTAACATTGTTTTAAAATTAAATATTAACATTTTCTATAGTTCAGTTTTAATATTTTTACGGTAATTTAACTATTTCTTTGGCATTCAGATACATAATATCACGTTTTAATTTTAAAATATACTCACATAATATAAAATAAAAAATGGCGATATAATTGGGAGGATCGACCCTATTGTATTCGTACAAAACAGTTCTGAACTTACTACTTCTCTCTACGAACATCTTATTCCCTTATGTCCTCGGAAACTAATTTTTTATTTTAACTCAAAACTAACAGGCCTATTATGAGTTTCTTTAAAGTAATCGTCACGTGAAGGTGCCACCACCTAAGCTCCATCCGAACACATTGAAATGTAAGAACGAAGCAAACTTTTGTTATTCAATATTTTTATACCTACACCTGTCACGTGGGAGACGAGAGGCATTCGACACGTCGTGATGGGCGACATCGGAGCCCGATATACGCTCAGGCGACACTTGAATTTTTAGTCAATTTCTCGTTTGACACAATTGAATTTGATCTTCGTAGAAATCAAATTTCTGAGCACGGAGCGAGGGTGGCTTCCGATCGGGCACGAGTCACGGGTCGAAGCGATTTTCGATCGGATATATGGAGTACACGGATAATATATACTATAGTACACTTCTAGTAAATAATTATAATTATTATAAAACAAAGTTTAGATATACAATCAAATAATAAGATTTTGCTGAACTAGTGATTCCAAAAGAGTGTTGTGTCAGCATAAGTTGCATTACAGCTACTCCACCACGCTGACTGTCATCAAACCCTTTCGTCAGTTAGACAGCGCACATATAAACATTTGATAGTTTACTATAGCGATAGAAGATCGAGTTGTGTATTTAGTTATATTATTATATTTTAAATATAAAACTGAAATCCGGGGGACACGGATCGTTTATAACTTCGTAGAACCGAAATATTTATACAACTATGACTACTATATTGCTATTATCGCAAAAGGAGCGCAATTTTTAGTATCTCCATCATCGTGCACCCCTAACTTGGACCTCCGTCTTCGGCGGTCGGCAGTTCGGATCAAACGTTTAAGGCTACTAAAAGGCCTTTGAGCCGGCTTCATTTGCGGTCGAGACTTAAGGCAAAACATTGTTCTTTTTTGTCTCTTTGCCAAACGGTATACAATCCAATCCATAACATTGACATCTTTGCTCTAAAGTTAATATCATTATTTTCTAGGATAGACTTGTTTACTTTCAACCCCTTTCAGCTAACTTAAAATACCTATAACAATTTACAGAATTTCACCATTGCACCATTGCCTATTTTCCAGTGCATGCTATATTTAAATAGAAAAGCACCAGCTCTTTGATTGTACCGCTATTGAGTGCAGAATATGCTTTACCGAAATTGTCCAAACACAGGCGCTGAATTATTCCACTTGAAAGCCTTAAGGTTATACCGAGTAATGGAAATAATTGAGCTAAGTGCCCTGTCATACCAGTTATCGAGTTGTTATTCATATCTCCCTATTCTGAATATTCCTACTAATTTTACATTCGTAATATATTGCATCCACATTATTATATTTATTTAGACCTACTAAACGTAGGTAGGTCTAAATAAATAGCCCATTTATCCAGCCCGAGGACTTGAATTATTTTATGATTGACTATTTTATATGTTACAAACAACTACAACATTTTATTGCAGTAATTACTACTTAGTGACTAGTAACAGAATGTATCCTGGCACTTTTTTGTTTCTCAGTGACATTATTATGACAATATATGATTAAACTATCAACAGATCGGATCTGTAATAACAGATATGTATGTGCATGAGGCTTTAGTGCAATAACTCATATCTGCCAACATATTATACGTATATATGTAGTATCTTAATCACCTGACGAGGAATCGCGTCGTATTAGTGCCTGTACTATGACGCAATACTGCACATCATGACGTTATCGATTTCAAATTCTCAAAGAATAACTAAAAATGTAATAAAGGAGCCCTTATTCCTTGTCATGTATTTTATGTTCGTATCTTTTAATTATTAATTTATAGGTACCTATATATATATTGTTAATTTTGAAAACTTTATTATTTTTTACATGGTATTGCTCATGAAGGCACTATATAATTTTAAAATGGAAAATAAATTAAAGCACGGAACGCTGACGATGCCGGTTCAAGTCCTGCGTGAATCGATTTTTTTTTTCCAATTTATTTTCGATTATATAGCAAGTTAAAATATATAAAACATATTCAAAATAAATTTAATTGGCAGCGATATAATTATTAATAGCATGCACTCATGTCTTGGGAAAATTTTAAACTGCCAAATTGTTTTAGTGGCTCCAAATTATGATGGCTTTTCTTGCCGGAAAGGCCATTTTTGGTTATTGAACTCGGTGCTGTTAAGGAGCTTCACTACTTTCTCAAGAATGGTATCTTTATACACTTGCAGATATTTTGATACCTTTTTCGCAAAAGTATGGCTCAGTCACTCTTTCATAGCTTACATCCCTCCAAACCGCCACTGAAGGTGGATAATACACACTTTGAACTCTATCTACTAATTGAGAAGCTTCCTTAGAACTTTGAGCATAAATGCAGATATTTTGTTTATTGAAATGTTACTCAATTGTAAAAAATGTCTCATCCCTTTGCGTTCCGCGTAGTAGTTGTTTCGATTGTACCATCCTATTCTTTTTTAAAATTATCACTTCAGAATTGACCAGTACGTCTCTTATTGGCTGCAAATCCTAAGTCATGTTTTAAAATACTCGGCATGGTTCTACGAATTTCAGATAAGGTTTCTACGAATTCTCTCCCTTACTGCTTTAACCACCTTTTTCGTACGAATACTACGTGAAAGGCCAGATTTTTTTCTGTCACAAACAGAGGAGGGATCATTGTGTCTATTAATAGTGCGGTACATAAACATTTTATTTATACCAAGCGTATGGAGAATATTTAAAATTGCATTTGGCTCTATATCAACTTTGGGTAATGCAATCACAGCGTTTCTATTATCTTTATCATCCCACTCTATTTTAATTAGGAAAAATATTGTAAAATTTAGGTATGTCAGCATTTTGTTAAGAACTCTTCAACCCTAATACCTAAATTAGACTAAGTGTTAGTGCGAGAAGTCCACGAAATATTGTTTGAGCGACGTCTTTAATATTCTTACGACTAATGTTGACAAAGGCTTTACGACTCTATATTTTTTTTCCGGCCACCCGCACATATTAAGGTAATGTAACGTAATTTGTATATACACATTAGCTCTTTTCTTAATGAAGTTATGAATATCACGTTTATTGGAGTCATTAATGGAAGGTTAATCTGGTTATATTTTTAGTCTTAACCTATATTTCACTCAACTCATGTTTCGACTGTTAATACGCAACCGCGAATCTCCGTGATCCTGCTCGAGTTGTCGTCGTCTCGTGAGCAGCTTCGGGTCCCACGTGCCAGTCTATACACCGTCGAGGTTCGGTGAGTCCTTCAAGAATTTTTCCCTATACTTTTTCATATTGAAATTGATATTCGACACTCGGTTATTTAATTCGCATTGAACCAGAGCTTACAACATTGTTCAAGTGTTTTCTCTTTTTGTAGGATAGTGAATTATATTTCACCTACATTAGGAATTTTCCTGCGTAACAGCGTTTTTCCAGATCCCATAATTGTTGCGTCACAAATAGCCGTGCAAACATTTTTGTCTCGCATCAATGTTTGAGCCGTGAACCGTCGGAATTAGATTTCCCGGGACAAAATGGTCGCGACCGCCGCGTTTTCTGATAATTCCCCGGAGTTGTTTGTTTTCCCATACGAAACAAATCTAAAACTGGCTTAAATTGTATATATCGTTATAATTCTATCTTTTGACCGTAGAGCAAACAAGAGGTGTTTTTATACCAAATAATAAACGTGTAATACAGTGCAGAATTACACTCGTAAATTATTATCGATTTATTTAACTACTCGACGCTTTCTTGCCGAGAAGAATGAGACCATAGCAGTGCATTAACTCTAAGCTTTAATGGTTTCCTCTAAATAATGAACTGTTAAATTGCTACACAAACCGTTGAGTGCATAATTGACTCCTAGAAAATAAAAGTACCGACAGTTTCTTTCATACTGTCGGGTAGTTGTAAAGTGGGTGGAATACTCACTTCGTCGAGGGTAGTTAAAGGTTAATTACAAACCCGTTTTTGTAGGAAACAGGTTGAAAAGCGCTTAATTGACTTTTAGATCGTGGAAGCGGTGTTTTTGTTCCGCGATTCAATATGTTTGCCTTTATTACGCGTTACGTGTTTTAATTGAGCCCGACAATATCGTCAATTTCATAATTTACGAAAGGTTACGCGTAATGTATACTTACGTCTAAAAATATAATACGCGCCGTACGTATGTTAAAAATAAAGTCCCACCGCCAAATAAAATTGCTTCAAAGGTTACAGGAGTATGTGATACTCGAATAAGAAATTTCAAATCGAATGAAATATCTTTGGATTTTCAAAGAGCAATAGAAATAAGTACACAATCTAATTTTTATCCATACAATTTCGAATCGACAATGATTTCGAAATCTGGAGCGCTCCCGATATCTTTCGAGGAGCCTTTGAAATTTTATAAAGACGCGAATATCGGTTCGTAGCTTGTATTTCGTCTGTGTAATAAGCGGCGTGACTCGTCGGTTTCACTATTAAACCTTTAATGCGTAAATTAATTCGGATATTCCCGCAAATTGAGGGATATTACAGATTTTCGAGTGTTATTAAGATCCCTTTCAAACTCTCACTTGCGTCGAAAGCCACGCGGCTTCTTCTAAGATACCGCATCACCCGTGCCGCGAACGTCGCGGGTTTGAGTCTCGCCTGTGTTAACAAATATTTT